CTACCTTTTTTCATTAACGAGATTAATAACATCAGATTAAATATCACACCCTCGACTCACAATTTTGTATCTGACGAAGAGCATGCTGCACCTTTAAGGCAATTCGAACCCATTTCCCTTTCTTGCTTAAAAAACATTGTAGCCCATATGAAGCCTTCTACATCACTGTGCGATGTCATCCGCATGAGACAATTTATATAGTAGGCCCTTGTATTTCATCTAGTATAAATGCCTGCTTAAATTCTGGTACTGTTCCTACTTACTTTAAATGTGCATTAATTCAGCCCTTTCCCCCATAAAAAAAAATAAAATAATAATAATCTTAATGTAACAATCCTCAATAACTTTCGTCCAATTACAAAATTACATCTTCTCTTGAAAGCTATGGAAAAATAGTTCTTTCACTGCTGTGGTCCCATTTAAATAAGAATTGTATTTTCGAAACTTTTTAGTCTGGTTTTAAAACCCTTTATAGCACAAGGTCCACCTGATTTAAAAGTGACAAATAATTTAATATTTGCTGTGGACTGATAACAGTGCTGTTTGCTGTTTAGACCTCAGTGCCGCCTTCGACACTGTTGATCAAAACATTCTTACTAAATGCCTTGAGCACACGGGTTGCATGGGACAGCCCTAGACTGGTTCAGATCTTACCTGTGTCCTACGACTTTCTCAGTCAATGGGTAATTGAGTGCTACCTTAAATCCTGTGCCACCTTAAAAGAAGTTCCACCTTAAATTCTGTGCCACCTTAATTTTCATGCTACCTTAAATGAAGTCCCACCTTAAATTCTGTGTCACCTTAAATTTAGTGCTATGTTAATTGCAGTCCCACCTTAAATTTAGTGCTATGTTAATTGCAGTTCCACCTTAAATTCTGTGCCACCTTAATTTTTGTGTTACCTTAAAGAGACTTCCACTTTAAATTCTGTGCCACCTTAAATTCGGTACAAACTTACATGCAGTTCCGTCTTAAATTCAGTGCTATGTAAGTGCAATTCCACCTTAAATGCAGTTTTACCTTAAATTCAGTGCTTCCTTAAAAGCAACCCCACCTTAAATTCATTATTTGTGCTGTTATTGCTGTGCATTAGGCTGTAAGCGTGTCTGTGTGTACTGTGTATGAGTTTCTGTGTGAGAGATGTCCATTATGACATCACTTGTGGCAGTTAGTTTGAATTTCCCGAACATTCCGCCCATTCATTTCCTATGGGAAACAGTACATCGTATCGCTTAGAAAAGCACAAGCAATCTAATCGGGTATAGATCCTAGGATTCTGCCAAGTGTTCAAAAACTGTGGGAGGAGTAGCATTTAGTTTTTTGACTATAGAATAATAAGAAAAAGAAGATTACGAAGACAATAAATTGGCTTTTTCAAGCCAACTTAATTATAGAAACTTAGAAGCTGCAAAATTCCTCAAACAGTGCTCTAGAGGAAAATGACTCACCAACAAGTGGTCTTGCCTATTTAAACAGTAAGCTATTCTATGTTGTTCCTGAAAGGACTGGGCTAACTACATAACTAGATTAGCAGAGAAGGTGAAGCGCATTATAATGGAGGGAAGATGCTGGTAACAAGAGGTTATATATAGGGGACAGGCCCACCTGTCCTTTCATCATCTGCTTTACAGGCATAATTAAATGTGTGCAGACACACAAGGATGTTTCATCCTGCACAGTATGTGTTGTACTGAGTCAAACTGAATGGCAACTTAGGAGTTTTGCCTGTAGACTCTTACTGGTATAGCAGTGGTATTCCTGAGTGGACAGGGAGTTAAACCTTTCACTTTTCTTGTATGGGGCAAATGCTAGTTTTATGTCAAAATGCTTGTTTAAATGACCCATTGGAGAATTTGTTTATGCAAAGCAAATAAAAAAGAAAGAAAAATAAAGGAAAGGAATGTATAGGCTTGGAGGGAACAAGTTCTGACTATTATGTGTTTACTAAGGAGCATGCAAAACCTTTAGCATGTGCTGAAAGTGCACCAGGCTGCAGTTTTGCACTATTTTGCGAAGACCAGTCAATGAAATGAAATCAACTGCAAACTGGCTAATCTGAATTGCAGGGGCACTAATACACAGATCCACTCAGAGTGTGAGTGCCAGCTGCTAAAAGATAAACAGTTTGGAAAATCACTGTCAGGAAAATGGATGCAATAAGAACTACCAAAAGTCACATATTATTTTATTATTTTAGTTATTTAAGTGCATTTGCACCACAACAAATGGTTAGTAGATGGCCCTCTGAAGGAATGTTTCCTACTCATCAACTATTTACAGCCGTAATAGGCTCAAGACTCGCCTCAAATTCCTGGGTGAAACTATAATGACCAGAATAGAGACTGGATAACAAAGAAGTAATAAATTAAGACTTGAATTACTTAAACCCCGATCTCCCCTACATCATTCAGAGTGGCTGAAGCTGCTGGAGGATGCCGGGAATGTGAAGTGGATTGGCGGCCATGTGACTAAAGCAGGGATCATTCTGCTATCCTGGCCTGCGACTGCCTGTCTGCAGTGGTTTAGATAAAGCCACACAGTGGTGGAGATAACAGAAGCTATGCCTCAACAGGCTGTAAATAGAAAGACAGCTGAAGGCAACACTACACCAAGCACATGGCCAAAGGCTGTGACTTAACGAAACATGGCCTATTGTCTGCTTCCACTTGCTGAACAACTGATCGGCTCCTCATGCTCCAGTCCCTGTGTCTATGAATGTATTGTGTTTGTTTGTACTGGGCTCTGTTGGAATCACTGAGTGAGATTATGGAACAGTCCAGGCATTAGTTGGCATCAGTCCAGCATGCTTCCACATCCCCTTTCAAACAGGCTAGATGCTTTGTGATGAGCCCCAACAGTTGCTGCAAGGTTTTTCATCACTTGGAGATTAGTGGACAATGAAGACAAAGTGCACTGGGAAACATGGGAATGCTGTGTCATTGTTTCTTATTACCACCATGAGGGCATCAAATTTATGTGAATTATCAAATCTTAATTTTCTAGTTGAGTATATATGATGGCCTACCTGGTTCTGTGTGTGTGTGTAGGTGTGTGTGTGTCTGATTGTAAATTTCAGCCTTCCTGAACTTCACTGTCTAAGCCGACTGGCATTTACTGCATGATGATCTAAAACAACTGTGACCCAGCTGCAATCCCAACTTGATTCCAAGAATCCCCCAGTTTCATCTGGCTGATCTCACACAGATCTCCATCTTATTCAAAGTGAGACTACTGTTTTAGATTTTAAAACAGAATGATTAAGCTGTTTTAATATGAAACATTTGTCTTGTACCGAAAGTATACTGCATGTGTGACTTCACACCTGACCTACAGCCCTGGATTTCAGCATACCTCAAGTTTTATCACCGTGCTGACTTTTTAACTGCAAGTGGGACTCTACATAACCCAGTCGCCGCCCTACTGAAGTGTCATTGGTCCCAGAATAGCTCTGAACCATCCAACTATATCTAACCAAAGCTCAAGTAAGGTTCAGTCATCAATGTAACACTTCAGCTCCTGCCAAGAGATAACTGCAGCAGCACCATCAACAAAGATCAGTTTCAGCATTTGTGTTTACTCTGCTAAATGGTCCTTAAGTATTGTTTACACTTGACACAGTAACCACATTAACAGCTGTAACCTGTCTATGTATCACATTATACTCCTGTTTCTTGGTTTGTGATAGTGATGTGTCAATGAATTTGTTAACTCCCAGGTCTAAAATATCTGTTTGTGACATTCCCGTTTTGATTAGCATTTTGAGGTAACTCTGTCATCATCAGCTTGTTGTGTAACAGTATGATTAACGTCCCAGTGCTCCAGGGCTTTAACAATAGAGTCAGAGTTCTGCAGCAGTGCTGGCCACTGGCAATAAGCTGGGGGATATTTTTGTCTATATTGGGACACATGCTTTACCCCCTTTCCACATACAAGGACACAGTGCTCAAGGTTAAACCCTGTGGGGCCAGTGTGTAAAAAGAGGCCATTCCACACACACTCAAGTACTGCCTGACACCACAGTAGAAATGCAGCTGCGTTAATAGTAAGCTGAATATAGGCCTGTTATTTTAGCGCTTTATCTGGAAAGTTCACCATAGCACCTGTCATTTCATACATCAGCAATTCACGTCTGCTGTAAATCCCAAGCCAAATCCCAAGCCAAATAAGTTAATAGCAATTTCAGATGTCATTAAATTGCATCTGAACATCTGAGTTTTGGGAGATGAAATGCGTTCACTCAAATTTATGCTGTTAGTGTTATTGCTAAATATTTTTAGAATATTCATGGCCCAAAAAACTCCCTTTATGTAGACTACATATAGACTACACTCATTAAGGATAATATGCCTTGGCTTATATTATGATGTATTTTTAGGTTAGATATTTAATGTCAAGCTCAAAGGACCCTTAAATAATTTTGTCTAGAGTTGCAAGTAGCATGGCCACACACACAATGGCAGGCCTTCCTCCTCTGGCGTTTACAACAAAGGATTCCGCAAACAAGCAATTAGAGTAAGGGAGAAGAGTGAGCACATGGCCATTATGTTCACTTAATACTCTACTGTATGTTGAGAAGAGAATTGTTGACGAGTTCTTGGAAGGATGTTAAAGCCACTGGTCAATGTGTTACTTGTCACCGCTGAGAGAATCTGTATTCAAGAGGGACCAAGGGGGGATTTACCAAAGCCTTAGAATAGCACCAATTAATCTTTAGGAACTGTGTTGAAAGATAAACTAATTCTCTTACAAAACATTCCAAAGATTATTGCGTTTGGAGTACAAATTCATAGTAATCATTTGTATCAGAAACATCAAAACGTCAATTTTTTTCCATGTGTGTGATATTGCACATAAATCATTCAATATTTATGAACTTGACAGCAGTTAAACCTGCATCCTTTTCACGGCAATACTCTGTCTCCTCCCAGCCACTTAGCCTGCAGTGTATAATGCTGATATAAAAAGCAGCAGCTTGGCTTTAAGCAAAGCTAAAAGTGCAGCTTGCCTTTTGCGTTTAGCGTGTTGTGGGCCGGATCATTTCTAACCTCCCTGCACTCATCCTGACCTTGCTGGGCTCAATAAAAGGCTCCACCTCACTGCGACCACTCCAGCCAAACTGATTAAACCGGTTAGTTACCAACTCTACATTTTTGATTAGAGAATGCACTTAATGCTTTCTCAATAAAAATTAAATAGTTTCTAAGAAGGACATATTTCGCATCCTGGACCAAATAAGGGGCATTTCATTTAATCAACTAATCTTGTTTTGCATTGACAGTACACTGGACATCTCTGTTTTCACCTTTTTGTGAACAACATAGTTATATTTTTTGAAACATCAAATATTGAATTCTTGAATCTTTTGTCTTTTTTTACACTTTGTTTGTTTGTGTGTTTTTTTAATCTATGATTCATTTCATCTGAAGGTATCACCGAAGTGTTATTTCGGAGCTACCATGTCCCACATGTTGGATATGAAGGAGTTTGGAGAGGCGGCACCTTTTCTCCGAAAATCAGACCTGGAGATCCTGGCTGCGCAAACCCAACCATTTGATGGTATTTAATTTTTTAAGTTACAAACTTGTATGCTTGCTGTATCAAATTAATCTATATTTATATAGATTAATTATTTTTTTTGTTGTTTTTTTCCTGACTTGGATACTTCCCTTTGGGATTTTTTAACTGCTATAACCCAGGTTTACATGCAATCAGTTTGTCCCAACAAAATGATTAAGTTTTTGTTTTTTTGTAAACTCTAAAATGCTGTGTGTCAACAGCCAGGCTGTCCTTAAGTGAAATAAAGTTGCCAGTGAGAGCAAACGTTGAAAACTGCTCTGTACCATTCAGGGAAAAAACGTGTGTGGATTCCAGATGAAAAAGAAGCTTACATTGATGTGGAGATACAAGAGATCAATGGAGACAAAGTCATTGTTGAAACCAAAGATGGAAAAGTAAGCACTTCAGTTCTGTTTGTTTGTGTTATCACATGGCTGGACATTAGAACGTCTCTCTGAATACTCTGCTTTACTGCCCAGTCTCTGACAGTGAAGGAGGGTGACATTCAGCAGATGAATCCTCCAAAGTTTGACATGATTGAAGACATGGCCATGCTGACCCACCTGAATGAAGCATCGGTGCTGTATAACCTGCGGCAGCGCTACAGCAGCTGGATGATCTATGTCAGTCCTAAAGCAAACGCCTGCCCTTTCTGACTAATCTGCGAATCCACAAATAACCACAGCAGCACACTAACAACATGGAACCTAGCTATTCATAGAGTTTCACTACCGTGTTCAGACATTTAGCACTTAAGCTGCCAATTACCACATGACCCAAATAAGTGTATTTCGTAAAGACACATCTAAGCCCTTCTGCGTCATTATGTCAAGTATACATACATTTTATGTAAATATGAAGATTAAAAAACATAGAGGTGTGTTTCAGTTGCTGATTGTGAAAGTCAGTGATTTTGTGATGTTGCTTATCCCCTTAAAATCCCAGGCCTATGACATACTAAGGCTTATTATTCAGTAACTGCAGGGACTTTAATGCAAACTGGTTGAGCTTTTCTTAGGTTACAGAAGTGTGTAATAAAACTTTGGGCCCTAGCCATGTAAGGGGTTAAAGTATGAATTGTATTTTATGTGTGTCTGCAGACGTACTCTGGGCTTTTCTGTGTTACTGTAAATCCATATAAATGGCTGCCTGTCTACACGGCCCCTGTGGTTGCTGCCTATAAAGGAAAGCGACGCTCCGAGGCCCCGCCCCATATCTACTCCATCGCAGACAATGCCTACAATGACATGCTGCGCAGTAAGTGACATCACGGTTCTAAACTTAAGACTTTATCAGCTTTAAACACATACCTCAGTAATGCCACACTCTGCATGTTTTAAGTTATTTCACACCATCTCACCTAGAAACTGGTAGGTCACATCATGGATTTTTCTGAAAAAATTTCAAAACTAGGTTTGAAATCGTTTTCTAGATATGAATTTATAAAGTTCTAAATCACATCTTATTATTGAGTTTTACTGTGTGCAGAATGACTGACTGAGCAGAAATATAACTGGTATACGTATAACCCTAAGAATAACACTTGATTTTAATCGATTAGTTTCATCTTAATAAACTCCCACATCAGCTTATTTTTTTTAAGAATTTCCCTTTTTTGTTTATTGTTAGAGTCAGTTTTCAAAGTTATTTTTGCAAAATGTAAGTTTTATGTAGTATTCTTACATTTTTGTGAAAGATACAAATTATTAATTTCTGCAAGCAATATTTGAAGCTACACCATGAGTTTAATTTGGTTTCACATCTAAAAATCACAACAAAAAAATGTTGAGGACTATTCCTATTTCTGTAATTTCCTCAATAAGACCAGCTATGTCTCATTAACAAAACATAAATTACTAAATAATTACTAAATAAATAAATTTCTGAATAATGAGCACAATATAAAGCACTAGTATAACAGTATCCAGAGAAACACTGGATTTCCAAATGCAGCAACTATCCTGTCTTGCATGAAAATGATCTCCTACATTTCAGCTGCAGGAAAGAAATTCAAAATTGTAAAAATATCGGAGAATGATGCATTTACATTACTGAGATTCTGAAAACATCAGTGATTCCAGCATCAGCTGGAAATTGGTGGCTAGTACTCATTCCAGAAAGATCAGATGATGATGTTAATGTCTTTGTTAATTTTATGCATCCTCATGGCCTTTATTTTTAAGGCCAGCCTCTGCAACAGATTCAGAACAGTTATGCAATACATCTCTAAAAATAAGAAACAAAAGAATGCATTACCTGTCAGAAAAGAACACAGACTTCATGATTGTATTCATATCCAGTTAAAAAGTTGAGCTCTGTCATTCTGTAAGCAGTTAAACTTATCAGTTAAAATGTGGTTTACATGTTGCTGGGACATTTTTTTAATTCATAAATATGACACTATTTAGAGCACAGCTTTGTAATTTTTCATGGTTGTATTAATTGAATTTAAGTTTTTCTTAGAATCGTTTCATGTAAATCCAAGACCCCCAAGCCCTAAGTGAAGTCTTGTCACAATAAAAAAGGCATTTAAACACAACATGAAACATTTTTATTATTCTTAACTTGCTTGCTCACCTCAGTATACATTTCCATCAAAATGTTGATGTTACTGAAGAAAAAAATGTACAGTGCAAAAATAGGTTGAGCTGTTTTATGATTTATCTTTACAGATAGAGAAAATCAGTCCATGTTGATCACGTAAGTCTTAACTTTACACCTTCACACTCCCTACTCTCATTAGTCAATACAACAGCATCAGAACACTCACAGCTTTGGACTTTTTGCTAAATACTAAATAAATCTACTTTCCAAAAAGGTTGCTTTGACTTGCATTGAGGCCACACAAGTTCGATTAGCTTGTAAAACAGATTAACTTACTCCAAAAATGAAATCAATCAGAACAAATCGCTTTTCTAAATGACTTAAAAGCAAAAAATCACTATAAATGACAGAGAAGGGTCTGAGAACTTTTCTGCTGTTGAGAAACAGCAACAATTGTTCTTTTAATTTTTTTTTCAATGTTTCAGAAATATTTCCTAGTACATTATTTGCAAAATAGCTTGAAGCTTGAATAGACCTGATGGAGCACTGCTGCTGATCTTGTTAAACATTTTGTGCTCACTTCATTTCCTCCATTGTCAGCGGAGAATCCGGTGCTGGGAAAACTGTCAACACGAAACGTGTAATTCAGTATTTTGCCATAGTTGCAGCCCTGGGCGAGGCAGCGGCTAAAAAAGGAGTAAGACCAAAAATTCTTCCCTTTTTTGCTGTCTTTTCCCTCCACTATGTCAACCAACCCTTTTTATTTATTTTTCTTCTGCAGATATTTGTTCTTTCATTATTAAACAGCATTATATCCCCTACCCTGAAACGTTAAACTAGGATCTATTTCATAAACTGACCATGTCCTTTGCTATTCTATTGACATAGTAACTGTATAGTTATTATAGAAATACAAAGGTATTGTAGTCCAATGTAAAGCTGCAACATCAGCTTAAGTCAAAGCATTACTCCACTGTTTTCTGGATTTTCTTTCATCCATTTGTTACAGCTGTTACACTCTTTCCATTATTTTTTCATCTGTCTCTCATTCACTCTTGCATCTCTTTTTCTCCCATTTTTTTGTAATTTAATGATGTGATTAACAACCCAAAATCTTTACTTCTTTGTTTCAGGATTTCTTGGTTGACATTTTGATGTTCTTGATTTCATTTTTATCTCTTTTCTCTCCCCATTATCCCTGACACTTCTTCAGTCCAAGTGACTTAATACGTGAAACAGTAGTGCTAACTTACAGAGAAAGTTCAAATCAAGGACCATTATTATAAACTTTTCTGTATGCTCTCAAGTGTATGTGTCTCTCACACTGATAACAACATTTAAACTTAACATACAGTCCTAGAAAAATTCAGAGTGCATGATTTAAGGTAACAAGAACAACTGTGTTGTACAAGACAAGAAAAGAACTGTCAAGATGTTCACATTAACAATCATCCTTTCTTCTTTGTATTACGCTTCTATCAAGGGCTCTGCTACTAAAACTGGGGTAAGTAGAAAAGATCCATCAAAACAGATGAATAAAAACAAACATGCATGCACACAAAAATGACCAACAAACCTTTTTCTGTTTCTTATTGACAGGGTACACTAGAGGATCAGATTATTGAAGCTAATCCTGCAATGGAGGCATTTGGTAATGCTAAAACACTCAGGAATGATAATTCATCACGCTTTGTAAGTATTTCACAGTTGTGCACCTAATTAGTTGTACATGATCTGTAGAACTTCAGTTTTTTGAATTATTGTTTCTGTAGAAATGTAGGTTTTTTTATTTATCGTCTCTGTAGAGGTGTAGGTTTTATTATGTATCTCCTTTGTAGAAATCTGGGGTGCAGCTAACTAGCTAACTAATTAATCATTTCATTATGGCTTTGATTAATCATTTAATTGGGAAAAGAAAAGGTGCTGCTAGTAGTATGTCTAAATAAAAAATGGCCATCAGTTTATCAAAGGTGTGACAACAGATCTTGTGCACTATTTCTCTCATTGTGAAAACTGAATAAATAATGAAGGAACCACGCATGATCTTAAATGGCAATCCAAGCATTACAAAAAAATTCTCCTCTAACAATAAAGCAAAGATACATGAATTAGTTTGTGTGCTCAGTCACATCATGTCAAATATGATATTACTAGGCACACAAAATCACTCATGTCAAACACACAGTGTCCTAAAACAAGCTCATCCCACATGAAACTATGTGTGTTGTCAGCTTTTTCAAAAACAACCCTCCACAAGAAACAGAAAAAAGTATGTTTTGCATCATCTGCCTGACAGTTGTGTATTTTTCCCTGCATATGCAGCTTCAGACAGAGAGATGTATACCAAATGTGTCACCATTTGACCCCTGCACGTGATGTCACCGGGGCTATATCATCCCGTGCAACCTTCCTCTTTTTTCTTCTTGCCATCAGACCAACCATGCAGCCCTGTGACACCATTCATAATGCAAAAGCTATGAAACATTTTCATCTTCTATGGGCTGTTGTCTTCAACTCTTCAACTGACCACACCTGAAACATCTCGATGTAGGCTCGGACCTCTAAGTATTGCAGCTCACCCCTCACCTTGTGCAAGCTCGGTGCTGGGGAAAGAACTTAGCCACTGGACTAGCCGTGCAAAGGTACTTTTAACAGGGTCGCTGGACACAGATTTTTGAACAGTTTTTCACAGCCGGAGCTCGGAGCCTCTTTCTGCCATGATTTCATTCCAAGGCCAGCACTCTGTCCTGAGCAGTGACAACTGCTGTCCTGCCTTAAAGCTCACGCTCTATGCACCAGCAACTAAAGCCCCCCAAAAAGTACGTTTGTCATGCGTGCAGCAGATAGTTTTTCTGCTCTGCAGATTTTACCGCCAAATTTGTTGCGTGGATTTACTCAAGCTCACAATGGAATGGAACAAGCTTGGCGGAACTGACGCTTTGCATGGCCTAGCTTCAATGTCAGCCATGGATGCTTGTGACACTTCTAAGAGAGTGCCGCCAGATGAAACAATGTAACCTGTCCCACATTGACCCAGTGCAATATGTAGATGTATGGATGAGCTCTTTTCCAGAGCACATAATACAGCTACCAGAGTGGCAAGGACTGTTAACTCTCTCTCCCTTTTGCTCTTGGCACTCCATTCTTTTCTGCAAGGCCTTAACACTGACAAAGTGACCGACAAACTCTTAAATGCTGTGATTCGCTGTCTGCTCTTAGTTATGGGCCATGTCTTTGGCGACTAGGGAGGCTTTTGAGTGGTGCTCTTCCTATTTCAAGTCATCTAGGCTACAGACCCCATGAGTTCCATGCCACTTTTTTAGCACAACAACTTCCACGTACCCCCTTGTTGTGCTTTTAGTATTTCATCAACTTATACTATGAACACATATAGCACGCGAAGACGGAGAAGCGCTGTCTTCAACTCAATGTTGTTTTGTTTATTTATTTTGAACTCTCTCCTATGTGGAGGGATACACAAGAAGTCTGATGCACAGCAATACTTAGTGCCTTAGAATTCTTCTAAGAGATACTCAGTACATGACATATTCCTCCCCTCTTAAACAAAAAAGTGCATTTGTTTTTTTTTCTTTCTTTCACCATCTAATGAGATGCACTGTTATAAAGTCACCTGATGACATTTGCAACTGCAGCATGTTTTAGAAAACGAACAGCAAGAACCCCAGTTCACCCGATGCAGGAATGGTTCCCGAAACTGGAGTTGACAGATGAGTAGTGGGCGGTGTCGAATCAACTGTAGACTTCAGCAAAGCTGTCTTTGTTTGAGCAAAAGCCTGTGCACACTGATCCGTCCATTTCCAGGCTTTATCTTGACACAACAGCTGATGCAGTGGTTTTAGTAGGGATGCCAGGTTTGGGATAAACCTCCCATAATAATTCAGCAGCCCTAGGTAAGAACATAGCTGGCTTATGTTCTGGGGCGCTGGTGCCTTCATTATTGCCTTGACCTTGGATGGAGCCTTGTGTAAGCCTTGAGAGTCAATCATATACCCCAAGTATTCGACTGGCAGCTGGAAAAACTTGCTTCTCACTCCACATACGAGCCTATCACGAATGGTGTCATTTAGTATGGTATCGAATTCACAGTGCTTTGCCAGCCATTTTAATGCTGCCACAAATTTCGCTATTGACTCCCCATCCTCTTGGTTCCTTTTGTGGAATCTAAAACATTCTGCAATGACGAAGGGCTTCGGTGAGAAATGAGCTGACAGAGTAGCGATGATTGTTGCATAGGTCTTACTGCCTGGCTTGTCCGGTTGCACTAGAGAGCACAGTAAATTGAACGTCTTTGGCCCCAATACACTCAAAAACGTCGGCACGATTTTGTCTTCTGCAATGCCATTTGCCTGAACAAAGTAGCCAAACTGCTTGGGATACGAACTCCACTGCTCAGCATTATCATCGAAGGGACCAATACTGCCTATAATCCCAGCCATTTTAGCTCTGTGTGCTTCCCCGCTGTGTTTTAGGTTGGTAGCTCCGTTTTTCTTTTATCAGCTCCCCTCGCACGGTTAGTTATTAATCTCCATGTCTCCAAATGCCTAGTTCAAGTACAAACTCTCACATCTGCATTTTAAAAAGAAAATTAAGTCTGGTGGTTTACTCACGACCCGTCGTTTCACTGCCACTTTTATTTATTTTTTGCCTCGATGGAGAGAAACCACACAGCAGCGTTTTCACTCTTTAAGTTAGGGAGAAAGGAGTCATTTTCACTCGTTGCAGCCCTTCCACGGCATGAAGTTCCATTTTCCTCGTCGCCAAGTTGTTGTGTTTTTAGTATTTCATCAACTTATACTATGAACACGTAGCACACGGAGACGGAGAACCGGAGTCTTCAACTCAATGTTGTTTTGTATATTTATTTTGAACTCTCTCCTATGCGGAGGGATACACAAGTAGTCCAATGCACAGCAATACCTAGTGCCTTAGAGTACTTCTAAGAGATACTCAGTACATGACACCCCTGACAAGCACTCATTACTGGGGTTGTGAGCCATAGCCGATCTCTAATACTCTGCCATGCCACCCCAAAAGCCAGCCTGTGTCTTCCCAGAGTAGGGCTAAGAGGCAATCATCTTACTTCAGAGCCTCAATCTCCCTCTCTATTGCGGGACTCCAGCAACAACATCAACAAAATAGGTATACAATGCTGTGAAAGCTGCCTCAGACTGGATGCCCTGGCATCTTTTTCAAATGCACAGCACAGGAGTAATTCTCCATGCCTGTGTGAGTTTACAGCCGCCTTTCAGTGTGGCCTGCATAAGCCCAGAATGAGCATGGCAGGGCAAATGCTCTCCTCTATAGTGGAAGTAGAGAATCTTCTCTCCCAGCTGGGAGGTTAGGTGTGGCATCTGCAAGTGGAATTTGTGTGATATTAAGGCCGAACCCAGCTTTCTTAGCGAAAGTTCTCCTTCCTGGGTTTATTAACCAGTTCTTAAGCCTGAGGGCATACACTGACCAGTCAGACCCCAGGAGACAGCTCTTGTGTCCTGTCCGGGCATTGAAGTGCTAAATCTCTGCTAGTGCAAAGGTATGGAAGATGCAGCTGGTAATATGCTTTTTGGACACTAAATGGGGCTCTCTACTCTCAAAGGATCTTTCACACTGGCTGGTGGAGGTGACTGAGCTGGCTTATGCAGCTGCCAACTGTCCGCTGCCTACACCTGCTACTGGACACTCCATCAGGGGAGTCTATACATCTTGGGCTGCCTTGAAAGGGGTTCCTATTGTTGACATCTCTGCAGCAGCCACATGGTCTGTGCCCCGCACTTCACATCAACGTGGAAATGACATTAGACCTGACATCAGTTGTCCTGCCCTTTGTCATGGCCTTTCTCTGATGCACTCCTCATGACAGCAGAAGCACAAGTCATCTGCTTAGTAGGTACTGCCCCTGGTGCTCAGGAGATGACTGCCAGGGTCTCTCGGAGTGAGAAGATCTAGGTACCTGAGGAAGCTTGCAGTGAGTCACTGGATGATACTCTCGGTCTGAAGCTGCATACACAGGAGTGTGTTCTGCCCTTGGCAGTCATCCTCTACTCATGTTCATAACTAGTGTTTTACATAATTTAAAAAATTTAGCAAAACAAACACTGTTGGCTGAAGTTGTGTTGCGTATACATGCAGATGAACAGGTCTGTGTGCATCAGCGCACAAACAAGTCTGATAATGGATGAGTATAATTTAGCTATGCAAAGGAAATCTCTTGAGGCAAAGATGTTTGTTTTGCTAAGCTAGTTTTGCTAGCTAAATTGCAGACAACAGCAGGCTATTTTTAACCTTTGACTACAGTTTTAGCAGTTACTCACCAGCTTCTGCATTAACACTGCTAAGCAATAAATAAAAAATAAAGAAACAGAACATAAAACAAGAACATGAAACAAATCCCAACAATTACCCCCATTTAACAAAGCATTCAAAATTGACTACTGAAGTTTGCTTAATAACAAAACTGATTACTCGTCTTCATATTCCATCAAAAAATAGATATTTACACTTCAATCCATGAACCACAGTCAGAACTAAAATTACCAAAAAGATGGAATTGTTTGATTGCATAAAACAGTGACGAATGACACCATAACATCATGGAAATATGAACACCCTGGGCCTCAACAAGTATTTGACCAACTTAATTCATCTAACTCTCACCATCGTAGGTATCTTAGATCCTACTATGCATGTCCCTTTGCTGTGCTAAAACAGCTCTGTTTTACAGTGTTATAATTCTGGGTGGCTGCAGCGTAGTGGGTATGGGCTTAAAGCTTGAGCAATATAATTTACAAGCTAACCTTGTCTCATAATTTGCCCAGCACAACTTAATTATTACAACATACATATATTTGGGACATGCAAGAAAGCTAACTAATCAGATGACATTTGGTATTTTTGACTAATTTGGGTCTCATCACAGTAAATACATCAGTAAACATTTACCATTAAAATTAGCCAATAGTTTACAAAAGGTTATACTTCCACACATCCACAAATCCAACATGTTCCCAAAGAGCAGTGATACAACAAAATTTATTTACTAATCACTAAGTTTACCGATAGACCTGTATCATAAATGCGGTCTCTTATTGCTTCTGCTATGAATGTTTTATTTTCATGACAATAACTATTACCCTTAAAATTTTAGTTGTACTACTATAAACCCACAAAATGCTTTAGGATTTATGTTCAATTTGAGCTGCAGAGCACATGTATTACCATCAGAAATTGCATGTCTTGTCTGTGCTATACCAGCAGACACACTAATTGAATGAGGAATCCAAATACTTTGTTTTGGAAACAAAATCTGAGTGTGAACAGCATTTGAAATGTGATATTTCTGTTATCATTGGGTACAGGTGAATTTAAACTTGGAGCGCTACCCAACACAGCACATAGAATAAGAGACCATTCCACTTTGTCATCTTAACTGCTTATAATAATGTTTTAGTCCTTTCTATCTTGGTGACAACAAGGATGGATCTTCCAGTGTAGCATAGCCAGATGTCCATCACTTCAGCTGCATTGCTTGAGATCAGGTTGCGTCTGGACGATTAGAACTTTGAAGAAACCAGTGGACCTGTTGCTGAGCCATCAGTGACAAAAATAATTTAATAATTTAACACCAATAATCACCAAAATCACTTTTGTAATTCAATCATTTACCAACATCATTATTGAAGATTAGTAATCTGACCAAAGAGAAGTTGCCATTTAACTGTTACAAAAACCTTAAAGTAGCAATTATCCCAATTAATCTACATTATTTATCTCAGCTCATATGTATTATGTAATATTATATAATAAAAACTCAACCAATTAACAAATAGAAGCTGTGTGAGATGTTGTTACTGTGCACATCATTCTCTCTTATTACAAAAAGACAAATTTCCCCCTGCTATGTTATACATTATTCTGAACCAGAATAGCTATGGTGAGGCTGGTGCTATTATCCGATCTAGACTGAGCTAATGTTAACGTTATTATTGGGAAATTGTACAAGTTATCACTCGTTAACTTAAACTTGGCAGTTTTGTAATAAACTCATCTTGAGCCTTCACTACAAAGACAGTGAGCCAGCTGTTGGTTCATGTTAGCCTGAACCTATATATGTTCAAACAAAACCAAATAACTATATATTGTAACAGACTCAAGTTCTGTCTGATCATAGTCTCAACTGTTAAGGATATTTGCTTACAATGGTTTTACCACAAACACTAGCAGTTAAGGAAACAGCTGATTCACTTGACCAATTTGTAACATATAACGAACAACCCCATCTTGAGAATTAGACATCACAGTCATCATTTCCGAGGATTAGAGATCCAAACTCTTTTGAGAAAGCAAATGTATTAAAACTAGCAGAGCAGAGCCAAATGCCCCATCTTTGGGTAGTAATTACAAAATAAAAAGCAGTCAAAAAAACATAAAATAATTAAGGGCACCTCAAGTTGCCCAAAACCCAGTGCACAGACAAAGGTCAGAGCTGACTGGAGTCCTTCAAAGCAGCCTTAAATGAGTAAACCTTTTAACCATGACTAAAGTTATTAAATGGTTTACGATGATTCATGGTAGTTTTCACATGCAAACCATTGTCCTGCTCAAGTGACTGAATAGACTCTCATAGCAGCAATCATTATTTTAATCGATCCACTTCTGAGGGGGTATCAGAAAACTGAGGTACTTTGTACTTTGCGCTTGGACTGAGTTTTCCCTAAACTCACTTTGCTCTTTGCCTCAAACTTCTTTTTAGATTTGCAAGGACCCATTTCAGTGCTATAGTGGCATGCATTATCATGTGTTCCATGGCTTTACTGACTTTCTGTTCCATGAGACACATTCTGCCGCACATTGGAGTCCTTTCCACATGTTGGTGGACTTCGGAACACCTCAGTTTAGAATGTCGCAGCTTCAGCAATTTTACTGCTCCTCACATCTTTAATAGAAGCACAATCAGAATAGCTCCCATGCAGTTAAAATGTTTCAGCGACATGCTGAGTGTACTGACTCCCCAGGCTCATTCTGATGGCAAGGTTTAAATTCTTGTGCCAGGCAGTCTATTTGCTCTGGACTCAGAGGCTAATGCTTAGTGGTTACTGTAACATTCCCGTCTGTCTTGGACTTTTCTCCTTTGACTACTACTGGAGTTGTTTCTAAAAGAGTCAGATCAAGACATGCTTGATCATATCTGTCTTCACCGTGGACTAAGACTGCTCCTCCTCAAGGGAGGGGTTCACTTGCTTTTCCTTTGTTTTAACATGGTTTAGCAACTCATTTCTCTCTTTCTCAAGCAGTTTAGCTTGGAGGACACCAATAGAGTATTGAGCGCATTGTATGTGCTGTTGAAACATCTGAACACACCCCTCGAGGTCCCTTTTCTTCACTCATTTGCTCAGAACCATAAAACATTGCTCCAAACTCAATTCTGATTCCTCTGAAACCCCATACTTACACAAGTTCTCCTTTTTCTTCAAACATAATTTATCTAACATTTGCCATAGGTCTCTCAAATGCATCTTTGCTGCCAGGACTGTTTTAAATACCTTAGTGTTGTAAACTCAGCATTCTGTTCCTGTCCTTAGGAAGTTTCGTAAAAAGGGTTAGTGCTGTTATTCTTCAAACCATGAAAACAGAGCATAGTTGGCTTCTCAAAAGAACCCCACTTTTGCATTAACACTGCTTAACAATAACTAACAACTAAAACAAGGAAAAAGAATAGAAAACAAGAAAATAAAACAAATCCCAACACCATTTTGAGCCATTGTCATTTTATACTTTTGACTATGTGAGTAGTGCATAACCCTTTATGGTCATCTAATTAATACTGGAGTCTAATCGATAAAATTTGTTTTTTTTTTGTCGTCGACATTATCGATAGTGTTGATTAGTTGTTGCATCCCTAGTAGACAGGGGTTTGATTTATTTTCTTTATAGAAATAGGGTGAGTTATTTGACAAATGCTGCTGTGTCCTATTAATTATATAAATAGCTTCTGTCTTGAGCGGTCTATAGAAATCGTTTGTCTTTGTCTTTTAATTTCTGTTTAGGGAAAGTTCATTAGGATCCATTTTGGCCCCACGGGGAAACTTGCTTCTGCAGATATCGACATCTGTGAGTTTTGTGAATTAATTCAAACACCTCAGAGTCCATCTTTATGACCAGACTCAGGCTGCAACAATTATTATTATATAATATTATGTAAAATTCAATACATTTCATAATTAAAATCATTAGAATAAACGTGTTTTTATTTTAGAGCTCTAATCACAGGCAACAGTGCCACATAAAACCCAAATAAGTTTTCTTCCTGACAGCGATCTATCTAGCATGCTCTCAGTTGAATTTATTTCTGAGTGAAATAGCTAACTGTCCAGACAAGTTAGAGACTTATAAAAGACACCTGGCATTAAGACCAGTAGCTCTGAGCTTGTCTTGTAAAAAGCAGTTTTTGAATCTGGTCTATATTTTAGAACGGTTGGCCCATAAAGAGTAAACAGAATAGCCACAACTCAGAGGCTGCTGGGAAATGTTCAAATTATGGAATTATTCCAAGTATAAACATCTGAACCCTGCCCCCGCCTCTCTGAAAAAAGCTGACCAAAACAGTTGTTCACCCTCTTTCTTTAGATTTAATGGGGTTATATCCCACAGAAGACTTGGATATTATTTGTATTCTGTATTTTCTATTCAACCATTAAAATGAAACAAATGTTTAGTTTTTGTTGTCCTTACAGAACAATACTGAGGTATTTTTGTCCACTTCATGTGCCTCTAGACCTCCTGGAAAAATCCAGGGTAATATTTCAGCAACCCAGAGAGCGAAGCTACCACATCTACTACCAGATCATGTCTCAGAAAAAGCCTGAACTTCTAGGTTTGACATCCATCTATTGCTCAGATTCACACAGACACAATACGGGTCCATCACAACTTTTTCCTGAATATCATCTCTCTTTTTCTGCATTACAGATATGCTTCTGGTCTCTTCAAATCCCTATGATTATCATTTCTGCTCCCAAGGAGTAACCACAGTAGAGAATTTGGATGATGCTCAGGAGTTCATGGCTACTGATGTGAGACCAAGTTGCTAATAAAGTGAACTACATAACATAATACAATATAATATAAGCAAAGTATTGTTTGAGTTTCGATATCTGAAATCTACCGACCTCTATAAATCTTCTGCATTCTTCGACATTCTTTAAGCAGTGTACAGCATGTCCTTATGCAGAGGAAGCACTGAGTCCTTTTCCCCCCCCAGCATGCCATGGATATCCTTGGCTTCAGTCAAGAGGAGAAGTATGGCTGCTATAAAATTGTGGGGGCCATCATGCACTTCGGGAACATGAAGTTCAAGCAAAAACAGCGTGAGGAACAAGCAGAGGCGGACGGAACTGAAAGTAAAAAATTGACACAACACCACCCTTCACTGGCTTTTGCGAAGCTTAATGATTTCCTGACAATTATCACATGTCCTGCAGAAAAAAATCAGTCCCATTACTACATTTCTTTGGGATTCTGGATATCAGTACTATTTTGGGCATTGTCATTACCTTTAACTCCCACTGATCCCTAAGTGGTGTTTTTTTTTCCAGGTGCTGATAAAGCATCTTATTTAATGGGAGTAAGCTCAGCGGACCTCATTAAGGGCCTCCTGCACCCACGGGTGAAAGTGGGGAACGAGTATGTTGTGAAGGGTCAAAATGTAGAACAGGTATGGGCTGAAATAACAAAAACACACAATTCTGTGATTTAAGTTTCACTGGTATATTTAAATGTACCAGAAATAGATTAAATGTCTATATAAATTTAGAAGTAGCTGTTTTAGATTATCCTCAGTGATCAAAGTATTTAAATTATGGTTAAAACTACTAATGAGTACTGAGATGAAAGCACACCACAAACTGGAAGATTAAATTGGTATCGAGGCAACTGTTAGCATCCATGTCAATGGCAGCTGCAGTCTCCATGTGTACATTCCGTGTGTGTGTGTGTGTGTGTGTGTGTGCGGCTCTGTTAGGTTAACTATGCAGTGGGTGCTCTGGCCAAAGCCACCTATGACCGCATGTTCAAATGGCTGGTAGGACGCATCAATAAGACGCTTTACACTGTCCTGCCCCGCCAGTTTTTCATCGGTGTGCTGGACATCGCCGGATTTGAAATCTTTGATGTATGTTCTTCGGTTTTGCTCAAGACTAAATGCTGAATACTGGCCTGTAGTAGTGTGTGCTTATAAGTGTGTGTGTGTGTGTGTGTGTGTGTGTGTGTGTGTGTGTGTATGTCCCATCCACAGCTCAACAGCTTTGAGCAGTTGTGCATCAACTTCACCAATGAAAAACTGCAACAGTTTTTCAACCACCACATGTTTATTCTGGAGCAGGAAGAGTATAAACGGGAAGGCATTGAGTGGACCTTCATCGACTTTGGACTTGACCTGCAAGCTTGCATTGATCTAATTGAGAAGGTAAGAAGAGCACAGTCTATTTCAATACAGAGTTTACACTAAATCAAAGTGAAAAAAAAATTGTAGTCATCACAGATTCACACATTTTTGAGGATTTGTGAAATTTAATCACTAGCACACCTGACTTAATTTATTACCAAACCAGGAATTGGATGGGAAATGTAAATCCTTGGCTTACTCAAGGAGAGGTTTGGAAATGGATAAGCTAACACACTGACAGACAAAATCGCAATAACTTGTTTCTTTGTGTAAGTTCTAATGTTTGTGGTTGTTTATTTAAACAAATAAATGCTTACTGCCCAGACAAAGAGCGTAATATTTGATGTATGTATTTCATATAATTTGTTTAACCACATGAACCCAACAAACCTGTAGTTTGAGAGATCTTGATCATTTTTTGCTTGCTAAAACATGTTCTTTATGTACCAAATAAATGTAACAGCAGCATTTACATAATCCTGTTACTTAAGGAAAGCAGTAGATAAAATGGCAGAAATAACCATTTTTGTGTTAGCCTTAAAGAGTCAGTGTGCATTATTTGATGATTTTGCTTTCACTTCATTAGTAGCTTTTGCTAGTGATAGCTCCGTTATATCCTATTCTTTGCTAACACCTGTATAAGATACTTAATGTTATCTTAGCACCATGCTAGCAGTGTCCTGTTCTTTGCTCACACTCTATGTGCAAAATGATGACCACAGAGGCATGTGTAACAGGTTTTTATAGTGTTTACTGGTGAACTTAAATGTGAACCTTACATAATCTACCGCAACTATCAGAAAACCCCCAGCCCGCTGCCGTCTGGGTACCATACCATCGAGATTAACATGCTATCCTTATGGGGCATTGGCGTCCAAGCAACCACAGACGCATTACTAGTATATATCAGTGCTACACATGCAAACATTTCATCCTCTTTCTTCTAAGCAAATGCACAAACAAAAAACTTAAGTATATCTTGTAAGTGCATCTTTCTCACTATAGCTATGTAGGGTTGTTCACAAGTAAGAAGTTTAAGCACTGACAGAAAAATATGCTTTACTTAGTGTAAAGATACAACAATTTACTTTAAACTAGAAGCTGAATAATTAACTGAACTGCTCACAGTAAGCATACTGCCAAATATAAGACTAATGTGTGTGTGTGTGTGTATGTATGTATATATATATATACACACACATTAGTCTTATATTTGGCAGTGTGTATATATATATATATATATATATATATATATATATATATATATATATATATATATATATATATATATGTGTATATTTTTCTGTCTCATAAGGGCAGCGATCCACCTACACCCTTGTCGAATTCACAGGTCAAGAACAATTCTGCATTTAACTTCTAGTCCTGATCTGGTGCAATAAATAGAATGGTATCGGTTGCACTGACCGGTCATAATACTGTTTTTTCATCACTCACTGGTAAGCTGCTGTATACTGTGTGCACCTGCATTTCCATACCTTTACTGAGGTTATCATCATGTCAGGAAAGGCATTCCCTCGAAAGTGTATCAGCAACAGGGATGTCTCTGCCTGGTCAGTGAATGATTGTGAAGTCATGCTTCTGGAGCTGAAGAATCATTCCTTGAAGTCTAGGTGGTGCTGCAGCGAGAGGTTTTGCCATGATGGACTCAAGTGGCTTATGATTGGTTTCTATGATCATCTTGCGACCGTATATATATATATATATATATATATACTAATGAAATCGCTTACACCCGAATAGTATTGCATACAGCTCCTTCTCAATTTGGGCGTAGTTGGTCTTGCTCTCTGTCAGTGATCCGGATACATAGCTAATGGGCCATCCTTCTTGCAGAAGGTGGTGATTAGGTCCTTAATCGTCTGTAAGGCTGTTTCATGCTGTGCATCCCAGACGAATTCTCTGAATTGCTTTAATAGGTGTCGCAAAGGTGTATTTCCATTAGAGAGGCATGGTGCAAACCCAGCTAGATAGTTAACCATGCCCAGCACTTTATTTCGGGGTGACTCCATTTGCTTTACAGCAGACACCTTGTCTGTGTCTGGCTTGACCCCATCTGCTGTAAGACAATGACTTAAGTACCACACTTCAGGGGCACCTATGATGCTCTTTTCAGAGTTGAGCCGAACACCTATCTCACATGATCTCTGCAGCATTGCACAGAGACGGACATCACGCTTCTTTTTTGTGCTGCCATAGATTAGAATGTCATCTACAATCGCCACGATACCACCAAGTCCTTCATAAGTCTCTTCAATTTTAGGCTGGAACTCATCTTGGGCAGAGATGAGGCCAAAGGGCAAACGACAAATCTGTAGCAGCCGAACACTGTATTGTTAGTTGTCAGATATGACGCCTCTTTAATGAGTTTAATGGCCCAATACCCTGACCTAGCATCCAGAATGCTAAAGTAACGTGCTCCTGCAAGCTTGACTGATATCATCTAGCACTGGCATAGAGTAGTGTGGGCGTTTTATTGCTTTGTTGAGGTCCCTCAGCTCAAGACATACTCTGAGTTTGTCTTCGTGTGGCTTTTCAACTACAACAAGAGCATTGAGCCAGTCTTTGGCTCTGTCACTCTGACTATGATGCATTGTTTTCCATGCTATCGAGCTCTGCTTTTAGCCTACCATGTAGGGCAAGAGGTGTTCCCCCTTGGTGGGTAAACTACAGGTTTAAGATGAATTCAGCATTCACCTGGGAATAGCCCAATACCATTGAAAACATCAGCAAACTTCCCCGATGAGCTTGTTAGGTGCTGCTTCTTAGTCACTGATAGCTTAGTCACTGATAGCTCTAGTTTAATTAAGTCTAAGTCCAGGCATACTTTTTGATCTAACACTGTGGGGCCTGAGTGTCAACAATGTAAAATTCCATGCATGCAAAGCATTTCGTTCTTTTTGTATTTGCACCTAAGTGAACATGTGCCTTTTACATTAAGATGCTATCCTCCATAGCCAGTTAGGCAGTGAGAGGTAGGTTTAAGTGTGCATTCGTTCTTTAGGCTACTATACTTGTGGACTGGAATGACATTCACCTGCATGCCTGTATCCAGTTTGACTTTTATCTCAGTGCCATGATTTCCAACCAGTACGTCTACAAACACTTGCTCTGTGTTGGCTATTTGTGGTTTCTGAGAATCTGTGTCAGTAAACAGCTCATCATGTGGCTCTTCCTTGAGTGGTGTTTTGGCACCACTCACTGCATAGACAGACTTCTGGCTACTGGATCAACAAGCCTTTGCATAGTGTTTCATTTTTCCACACTTGGCACACGACTTGCCTTTAGCTGGGCAGCTTTCATTGGAGTCATGTCTATCACTGCCACAAAACCTGCACGTTTTCGAAAATTCTCTCCTTGCATCCGATTTGTGATGCTTGTGGCTAATCTTGCCTTTGCTGAATCGTGTTCTCTGCACATTTGCATGCTTTGTGTGCTGCGTGGAAACTGCGTGCACTGCTAGCAATGGTCTTTAGCTGAGCCTGTGCTAATTCATGTCATCTTGCAATGTTAACAGCTTTTTCTAATGTTAGCTCGGAGCCAACACTTAGAAGTTTCTCCCTCACGTGGGGAATGTATGCCGAACACGATGCGGTCTCTGACCATTTCATCACTGCTCACATAGGCACAGTCCTGCACAGGCAATTTTAGCTCACAAAACGCTCAAAAGTTTCGCTAGCGCCTTGGACCTTTTTGTGAAACTTATATCTAGCAAAAATAGCATTTGCTTTGGGCATTACATATTCTTTGATGAGGTCAAAGTACGTTTTCAGCACCTTAGCTTCTTCTGCAGTGAGAGTCCATGGGTAAAAAAAATATCTCTGCCCTTTTCTACTATACACAGGAGTAGATAGTTGCATTGTTCTTCTTTACTAGTTTTCTTCAAGGGACTGGCAAACATGAGCTCGGCATGTTGCTTAAACTTGCGCCATGTGTCAGGCAAGTTATAGGTGTCTCAATAAATTCGAGGCAGCAACACTCCAGCAATGTCCATTATCATGTGTATCTCCTTTTTCCTGACACCATGCTCTGTTCTTTACACTCTATGTGCAAACGGGTGACCAAAGAGGCGTGTGTAATAGGTTTTTATAGCGTTTACCGGTGAACTTAAATGTGAACTTTACATACTCTACTGCAGCTATCAGAACTGCCCCCAGCCCGCTGCCCCTGAACCTTCTAGGTACCATACCATCGAGGTTAAAATCCAATTCTTATGCACCATTAGCATGCAAGCAACCACAAAAGCATCACTAGTATATATCAGGGCTACACATGCAAACATTACAAGCAGTGACTGCATTTCCGACACTGGGTTTAATACTTCTCTGGGAATTTCTAGCTCAAATACACACATTTGAAGCTCGTAAGATTTTCTAATGGCATTCTAGTTTTACAGCAAATGCTTCAGTTTTAAGCTTAACTAAGAGGACCCTGTAAGCTCTCTGTATTTGTGTGAATATGGAGGGACTGTCCACATGTAACGCTTAAAATGTGCCATAGTGTATGTTTTCACTTAGTCCACTGGTCAACCACCATTCACCATGTCAGTAGCAAGATTCTACCTGGTTTGAGAAACCAGGTAGACTCCTGCCAATGACAACCAAAGACAAGCTTAGACCACCTGAAACCAGCTACCAAAAATATTGGTCTTTGCTGGGTTTTTCCAATGGGATATCATGATGTACTTGTAAATCAAATCTAAACTGTCATTAGCAGTAGGCCCACTTGGTCTGCCGAAAGAACAAGGACATTATTAAAGTGATTCTTTGCCTACTGGGAAGACCTCAGGGCTTTACTGGAATGTTTACATTTCAGAACTTAATTCACATTTGATAGAGTTTGATGAAACTTACCAACTTTTCATTGGAATGGTATAGCAACCAGGGGTTGTCTACAGTTGAGATATAACCATTTTTAATCTACAGTGTCCAGTGAAACTTCGTCTTCTGAAGTTTTTGTATGCAATGTTGATGAGGGTAAAAAATTTGTAAACAAAAAAAAAATGAATTTAATCAATTCACATTTGTTCTATTCTATTCTCTCTTTTAGCCTCTGGGTATCATGTCCATCCTTGAAGAGGAGTGCATGTTCCCCAAGGCCACCGACAATAGCTTCAAGGCCAAGCTGTATGATAATCACCTTGGCAAATCTCCAAACTTCCAAAAGCCCCGACCTGACAAGAAAAGGAAGTATGAGGCTCATTTTGAACTTGTGCACTATGCTGGAGTGGTGAGTGTGTGCAAATAAAACACCTACAGGTGGAGTTCAACTTAAATTCAAAAGGACTTTTAAATTCTTCCTGTCATATTTTTTGTTGTTTTATTTTCTTTTTTCTTTTTTGTTAAATATATAGGTACCGTATAATATCTTTGGATGGCTGGACAAAAACAAGGACCCTCTGAATGAAACAGTTGTGGGCTGCTTCCAAAAATCCTCCAACAAGCTGCTAGCAAGTCTCTATGAAAATTACATCAGCTCAGACACAGGTCACTCAATATAGTTGTGCATGTGGAGATTTTTTCATTATTATTGTTTATGTGTGTATGCTATTCCAATTAACTGTCTGTTATTACCATCCAAAAAACTGCCTGTTGTCACCATAATCTGCACAAATTTACAACTCAATCTCACTTTTTAGCCTCTGACCCCAAAGCAGGAGGTAAAGAGAAGAGGAAAAAGGCTGCATCATTTCAGACGGTTTCACAGCTGCACAAGGTGAGTTGGCACAAAGCCTGTTGTTTTTACCCATCCTATCTTGTTAACTGGCCTCTAGGTTCAATGACACACCTCAAATTAAGAACAGAACTGAGAGAAAGTTTTAGAACACAAGTGCAGTGTGTTCAGCATCATTACGCTGCAGCAGTATGGAGGCAGAGGCAGTTAAGACTTGCAGTGATGTTTAGAGCAGTGAACACATGAACATCACTTTAAGTCTGTGCTGGCTTTACTTTTCTGTGCCACTGGAGTATTTTCCCCCTTGGCCAGGTAAGTCTACCTGAGTTATTACAGAGATAACTTTTATGTAAAAAAAAACTATTTAAAAAAATAAAAACCCATTTTGTATCTACAGCTGTTTGAAGTTTTGCCTGTGTGTGCTTGTAATGTACACAGGCACAGCTATTCATTCTTTAAATAAACTACATATACCCAGCAAGTTGTATATAGACTGTAACTGTAACTGCAAGTTTTTTTGACCCATGTCCACTCTGACTGCAGGAGAATCTTAATAAGTTGATGACGAACCTGCGCAGCACTCAGCCACACTTTGTCCGCTGCATTATTCCAAACGAGACAAAAACACCAGGTACAGACACATACACACATACACACCCTGCATCATTCGTAACAAGACAAAAGTACCATGTACACACACACAGCCTCAAAAGGTTATGGAGAGCTATGTAAATATGGGGTTTGCAAGGCACAAGCTATTGAATTGCCTTCACACTTTATTAAAAACAAAGCTATTAAGTGAAACCAAAATGAGTTCCCTAAATCTCTAAAGGTCCATTCAGTGGAGCCCTTCATTTAACAAGCCAAGGCTTAACATTTCAGAGTTAATTATGGATCCCTAACTGTTTCTCCAAGAAACAAAAGCATAAAGTTCTCCAGATTTAGATGGTTCTTTAGTAGTTCTGTTATGAAACAAAAAAAACACACACACACACACACACACACACACACACACACACACACACACACACACACACACACACACACACAAAGAAAACACAGGAATAACCCAACAGAACAATTACTTAATTTTGAATAATAATAATTTATTGTCTTTATAAGCTCAGAAGTAAAAACAAAAATATTAAGGTTATCAGCTACATCTCCTGCTAATACTTGCATGTTAGCTTGCTTGGTAGCTAACTAGTCAGTTGGTAGTAATATTTTATGCATTAGCTGACTAATTAGCTAGCTGGCAAACTCACTTCACAAATTCAAGGTTATCAAACACAGCAGTACAATCTGTATGAAAATTTGGGATTTATTTTAATCTAGCCTGTATTTTAATTACTGAATACATTAATTATTATATACACAATAAAATATCTAATTAGCAACTGTTAAATAATGATTTTCATTAACAATAGTGCACCACATTTGATGATGATGACATGAAGGATTGTTTTCTCTGCAGGAATAATGGATGCGTTTTTGGTTCTTCATCAACTGCGCTGTAACGGAGTGCTGGAGGGAATCCGAATCTGCAGGAAAGGATTTCCCAACCGCATCTTATATGCAGACTTTAAACAACGGTTAGGACAGCTACAGACTCCACAACAGAAGGGTGACAAAGGAAAAACCAACATAAAGAGTTTTAGGAAAGTGTTGCGTCACCATGAGCCACCAGAACAGCTTCAATGCGCCTTGGCATAGATCTTGCAAGCCACTGGAGGCATGGAACACCATTCTTCAAAAAATATTCCCTCAAAATCATCAGTTTCCTTGGTGTTTGATGGTGGTGGTGGAGAGTGCTGTCTAACATGTCTGTCCAAAATCTCCTATAGGTGTTCAAATGTGATGAGCTCTGGTGACTGCAAAAGCCATAGCATATAATTTACATTATTTTCATACTCATTAAACCATTCAGTGACCCCTCATGCCCTGTAGATGGGGAGCATTGCCATCCTAAAAGAGACCAATTCCATCAGGACAGAAGTGTTTCATTGTAGGAAAAAGGTGATCAGTCAGAATAACCCCTCTGTCTAAGGGGTTGAAACAATGCCAGTAAAAGCCAGTAAAAGCTCCCTGTAGGGGTCAGGCCTTCAGGTTTTTACTGTTCTCTTGGGGTATGTCACACATGCACTTGCCCACTTGTGGAAATTATGATCGATGAGGGTGAAGGATGACTCAACTGACCATGTCTTTTTTACATTTATGTAGACCCTTCATCTTTGTAATAGGGTTTATGCACTGAAGCCTTATTATGATTTCTCTACCTTTGTTGACGACAGATTGTTTTTACTGACCAGGCCTGATGGCATTCTGCATGTGACATTGACATGTCACAGTGCATAGTAGGATGTTAACTGCTTCATTTTATCATGTAGTACACCTTCACTAATCCATCTGTACTCATTATGTTTCTCCACTCATTTATTTAGGTTTTTCCTTTAATTTGTCACCCATCTGTACATAACAGTATAAATGCAAAAAATACAGTAACATTAATTCAACCTATTGAACAGGTACCGTATTCTGAACCCACACGCTATCCCCGATGATAAGTTTGTAGACAGCAGGAAAGCAGCTGAAAAGCTGTTAGCTTCGCTGGACATCGACCACAACCAGTACAAATTTGGACACACAAAGGTAAATCAGCCCCGCAGCCTTGTTCATATATAGCTATATTGACCACACAAGAATTAATACACAGTGCATTCTAAAGAATCCTGTGAGAGAATTCAATACAATAGCAGTTCTGCTGTGTGCATACCTGTGCAGGTGTTCTTTAAGGCAGGACTTCTGGGGCAGCTGGAGGAGATGAGGGACGAACGGCTGGCGAAAATTCTTACGCTGTTGCAGGCCGTCAGCCGAGGGAAAATTATGAGGATGGAGCTCCAGAAGATGATGGAAAGGAAGTAAGTAGTTTAAATAGATACACAATACACCTTGTGAGTAATACTTTAAAACAAGCTGTGAACAAATGAACATGTTCAAACACTGTACTCACTAGAGGAAGAAATATATAGACAGTGTCATGAAAAACAAACAGGGATGTCATTTACAGTGCAAATATGGCAGTTTAAAATAAGGCAATTGTTATTCTAGTACAGTGCTTAGCTAGCTCATCGTTCTTGTGCTAACGTTGGGCCACATGTAGCTACTGTTGTTATCATGTGATCTATTTTATTTTGCTTCATGTTTTGTTGTACTGTATTTGTATGCAGAATCAGGTTAGATTTATAATTTTTTTTTCTGCGCCATTGTCTTATGTATACTTTCCAATGCCCTATGTATATACCTTTTATTAATGATGTTCTCTTTAATCGTCATGTTTGGTTATTATGTTAGAAATTTTCATTTTATTCCATCATTTCCCCCCTTGTGTAACCTTATGTAACGCACTCTATGATTGATTAATGTGGTTATACTTGATGACTTATTGACCAATAATGTTCAAACCATTAGTGATGAGTAAATATTGAATAATGCACTGTAAATATTAAAGTGTAAAGTAAAAAGAAATCAAAAGTAAAATCCATCAACTATTCCCTACTAATACAGGTGATCAATAATTTGCATACTGGAAATTCACTGGTAGTGACAATTAAACTGCCAGACTTCCTACAAATTTAGTAGTCCAATTAACAGTCTGGTGAGCTTTATATACAACAGGGCAGGATAAAATAGCAGCAGTTGGCACAGCTAATTTGGACTTTACTGGTTATAAAAGCTATCAGGCCAACTATGCAAGCAATAAATACCCGCATACAAGGTGTACCTAAAAACCATTAAGTCAGTGTTGGACCTTTTCTGTCCCAAGTCTCGGCCCAAAATAGGCAAACTGGTGTCTTGAACCCAACTCCTTGGATGTCAATAGCCACCTAAAAGCAAGCCAGAGTTTTAAAGAACAATAATCAAGACTTTTGATGGCAAATGTACACTGTTCTATGCAGGTACGTTTTTCGTTCATCAAGGTACAAACAATGTAAATGTACCCTCAAAGGTACAACAGTAGTTTTATGGTCCAATTGTGGACCTTAAATTTTTTTTTTTTCAGATGAGAAGTATACATTTGTATCTTTTCATAACCTTATGTTTTAAAACAGAACAATAAAATAAAAAGCCTGGAGATGAGATGGGGTGTGTGGAGTCAACACAACTTAGAAAATATAATTTCAATGGATTATGGTACAATTATGTTCCCTGACTAAAGGTACTGAGATGTACCATTGAGGGTACCACCCCAGTGACAAAAGGGGTACTGCCCCAGTGACAATTTTGTACCTTTTTTCTGAGAGTGTATTATAGCAAAGATTGTAAAACACAGTATTGGCACCAAAAGACAAAACTGTTGAAAAAAATAAAATGTAAGGCGTAATGGAGAGTACATACCAAATAATATATGTTAATAAATAATAAATGCATCATATATGACAAGTGATAAATGATAAGGCAATAATTGATGTAATAAGAGTAAACAGAAACAGTTGACAGAAGTCAAAAGTGATTGCTCTCTCAGCCTTGTTGCTATTTCTCCCCGTGTGAATAAAAGAGCTAAATGTGACAGGAGCACAACAACCTACCCAACAGAGGAACTGTATCAACTCCCTCCGTTCTTTACAAACCCCGAATATGTCTGGCACAGGATTTGATCCTCCAGTAAAATCCATATCAAAGGTGACATTTCACTTATTGCTTATCTAAATGATGGCATTTAACTTCTGGTAACGTCTGGTTGCAATACTAGTTGCCTAATTATTTTCATTTTTACAAAAACAAAAAAGAAAACCACTGTCTTTGATAATAAGTGGTAGGGCAGTGATAGGTTTACTCATGGCTGTACAGTTATCCAAACCCTTGTTTCTAACAATTCTTGGGTTCAAACTATCCAGTAAACAAAGCTGTGGGCTTCTCCCAGAAAGATATGACAGTTATTACCTGTACAATAGCTCAAACAACTGGTGTTTCAGTACTGGTTCAGCTCTTTTCATTCGCCCATAGAGGGTTTGGCTCTGACTGATTGCCCGTGTGCTGTTTTGTAGGTGAAAAGTCTCAGCTGTGTGGCTGTATCTTGTATACAGCATGCACACAGTCAGTCCTAGCAGGACAGTGGTGAATAGTATGGCTAGGAACATTATCAGACAAGTTGTAACTATGTGCTCATACCTTTTCAGTTCAGTCATCCATGTTTTAATCAAATTCATCACTGTCAATTTGTAAAGGCTGTGCTTCCTGTCAGGTTTGAGCTGTGGTTCTTGGTCTGTAGTGTTTGGAGGTGCTCCTCAGGCAAATTGTTGATCTCAGCAGCTCAAGTGCTTTGGAACAATGGTTCTGATGAATCCACACCTTTCGGCCTTCCGTTTTAATTGCTGTCGGAGTAGCTAAGATCACTTTGAAAAGCCCTTCTTCTCTATTATCTGAGGTTCAGCCTTCAGTGGCACCTTTCACCTGGGTAAGGATTTCTTCTATGGATTTTTAGTAAGAATCATGCTCATTCAACGCTAAAGGTAGAGTGTTTAGCCAGTTAATTATGTAACTAATTTAGCAATTTTAGTTTTGAGAATGTTCTGCAATGCCTTGTAACTGAGGGTGATATACATGCCCCAATCTATGTTTTATCCTCAATACTTGCGTAATTGTTTGTTAATTTATTAACAAAATACTAGATATTATCAGAGCTTATTTTATTTAGTATAACTTTTCTCAATAGGAGTGCCGTCTCTACAATAGGGGCCTGGCCCCACCAGATGTCGCTGTGGAGTAGTGCACGACCTGATCAATAATTCATCACAACAACTAATATATATATTTTTTCTCTTAGTAGCTTAAACTGTTGCACGTTTATTACATATGACAATGGTAGGGCTGTCCGATACATCCCAAATATCTTCCTTACCTGTCATGTAAATGGCAGTAGATCACCTACTTCTCCCAGCAGTTTTAGTTTGATGAGCATGGGGAGCCCCATAGGTATCCTCTAATCAATTGAGACGTTATGGTATGGGTGTTGCTATGCAGCTCCAGCATGTATCTGCATGTATCCAGCTGCAGACCCACAATACTGCACTTTCAAACTCTCACTTTTCAGAGACAGATCAGTTCCTTACAAGTACGCCTCTAGTGGCTCATTTCAGAATTGCAGTCACTTTGCTGCCCTTACGAGAGAATTTTAATATGGCTTTTTTTTTAGCACCAAAATGTATCATTCGCGTTCAAGTGGTTTTTGTGACAGATAAAGAGAATACTGAGGTTGTGAAATGTTTGTTTATTAGCTTGCTGGTATATATCAGTTGGCCTGTTTTACTGGTGTTTTGAACCCATATACTCTTTAAAAGGATGGATGAAGGTTCTTCAAGGGTTCTTCAGTAAAGGAAATGGTTCTATTTAGAATTGAGTTCTACATAGAACCATTTCATGCTTGGTTCAAGGTGAAATGCTTTTTCAGATTAATTGAGAATGTGTTGTACATGTTTAAAATTTACTTCATCATTAACATTCATTATATTTTTACAATCTAATCGATTCTATGCTTCACTATGATGAAAACAGCTTTGACATCACAGCTCAGCCAGTTCATGCTGCCTTCATCAGAACCATTAGGGTTAAAACCGGATATTTTGCTTTCTAATGGGAATTGGCATAATGGTTACCATTAGAGACCACTGGTTTCCTGTAGGACACTTTTAGATCCCATTAGGAAACCATTAAATTCATTTAGAATCAGTCTCAGAACATGTTAAACAATTAGAGTCCTTTCCACTGTGATATCAACCCATCAAGAAAACACAGAACACTATTACTGACTATTGGACACCACAATTTAATGGTTTCTATGATTTTTTTACAACATATAAGCAAGTTAATTTCTCATTTTTTGGGGACATTTTTGTTTTTTCATTACAAAAGTGTATGGAGTATGTAATAACATACAAGCCAGATGAAAGATAACACCAATCAATGCTAGTAATTGTTCATTTATTACCTTTAAAAAAAATTACTTGCAACATACAACATTTTGTGGCCTTTTTTTCCCACTGCCCTTTGCTGTACATGCGTTGGCACATCGCATGATTCATAAATGGTAATAAAATAACAAAGAAAATGAGTGAAACACCGTATACTGTATATTCATGAACTATGACCTAGACCCACAGAGCTGTGCATGTATGTTTTTTCAACATTGTTTAAGTAATAGATTAAAGACATGCATTCGTATCTCACTAACACACAATTATTACAAAATTAAACCCTTGAAATGTATAAAAATCTAACAGTAGATATTGACCAACTTCCGATACAAGTCTTTTTATGTTGCATCAGCCTATAACATATAACAGGCGTTAAATAAGCTGTGTGAAATCAGTGTGTACAACCCGTAACAAATACTAACAGGGAGTGCATCCAAGGTGTCTGTATATCATAGCTGCCAACAGTATGGACATCTTTGCCATTTTGTGCACTCTCACCCCAGCTCTTCACTGCACATGAGATGGTTCATATGATTCATGTAAGGTTGATAAATGATAATAAAATAATAAAGAAAATTAGCAAAAAACAGTATACTCTCAATTCATGAACTATGAACTAGTCCCAAAGAGCTCTGCATATACAAACATTTTTTCTGTTACCTCTAATTTCACAAAGAAATGTTTCAAAGTTGTTTTCACTATAGAAAGTAAAAGAAAAGAGACTCTTGTGGATAAGCTGTTCTTCGCAGTTCTCTTGTCCAGGCAGTGGGAAGCTGCAAATAAGTAACTAACTTCAGCCTTGTGGCAGTGGGAAAGTCAGAAGCTGACATACTTCATCTAGCCTGCCGTACTTTATCTGCTTCACTTGAATTGATTAATGGATTGGTGGACTTTGAGAGAAAAGTTTTTGACAAGTTTGCCCAGATGAAAGATTATCATATTTTCTTTTAGAGCAGTGAATGTCACTGGTGAGCCATTCTGCATTATTACAAGGGTGTTATCCCTAATGCCCATAAAGTAGTGTTTCCATGCTCTCAAATGTTGCTTTGGATATGTAGTTGCAGACTACAATGATCATATACTGCTAGATAACTTTGGATTTGTTATGCGATGCTGTACAACAAGGTTTTGTGAGATCTTTTGTCGTTATCATATCACTCATATTCCTGTCTCCACTTCCAGTAACTCCTGCACCACGTCACGTTAATTTGTGAATTTGTGATTTCATTGATGGAGTGCATTTGTGTTTGGATCAGGTTTATGTATGTCGATGAGTTGGCTGCTGCCCCTACAGTTTATTGTGCCCCACTAGGCTTTCTGTGGCAGAGACGCCACTGAATGGGAGGGGCTGCGTGTGTGCGTGAGAATACGTGTGTGTGCTCACAGCGCTAGGGGGCGTTGTTGCTCTTTCCCGAGCGGGAGGGGATGGGGTGTGTGAGTAAGTGTGTGCGCCCCACTTTTCTTCTCTGCTGTTGGGCATTTCTCTCCCTCTCCCTCTCTGCTCCGCTGTCAGCTACCTGCGACACTTACACATTACTGATGTTACTGTTATTGTCCGCTGTTGTATCCGATTTTTAAGTTTTATCTTAATCAGCTCAATCACTTGTTTCTACTTTCCTCCTCCTTCCAAATACCATTAACTTTATCGCTTTAAATAACAGCTTTGGCACATCTTTGCATGCAGTTGGTACATTTAGACGCGTTTTATCTGATCAAACCGGTTTCCCAAAGAATAGATTTTATAATTTATTGATATCCAATTACTTTCAATTCTTGTTCAGAAATTTTATTTTTCTGTTACAATCCTAATTAGGGGAGACCAGGTACGGTTGTAACACTTTTGTTTCAGCACCTGTAACTCACTGAATTTTTGAGCTAGAGTTCTCAAACTTTTGTACAAAGTACCGAGATTTGTTTACTACAAATGGCTTCAAAAAAGGCCTCTGCTGCTTAGTAAAGTTCTGGTATTTTCCAACACACAGACAAAGTCTCAGGGGCTTATTTATTAATAATTAATTATTAATGATAATCTCTTTAATCATCATGTTTGGTTATTACTTTAGAAATTATTAAGTTAGACATTCTATTTCGTCACTATCTGATTCTGAAATTTCTGCTGGTATTGTCCAATTCTGTAAATTTAGATAACCAAATAATATCTGCAAAATTATCATGCTAAACAATATTACTGTGGTCCAAATTTAATTATGAAGTACCACATGTAAGTGTAGAGCCTTACCCTGTAGCTTTTATTTTCCCTGGTGATAACATAATGACTATATAATTGCTAATGGACTAGCTTTAAATATTACTTAGTAATTTATAATGATAACTATATTCTGCACAGACAACATGCGACACTGTTAACATTCAGTGATTCTCAGCGTTTGTTTGGAAATTAAACATGGCCAAACTGGTGTACTGGCACCCTTCTTCTGGACAAGCTGCTCTTTACTAAACAGTAGACCCCATGTACCAGAGTTTCTTTGCCAGACTGTATTCTTTGTCAGACTGAAAATCTACATTATAATTTTTCCAAGTGGTTCCAAATGGCGTTCATAACTTATAACCTATACAAGCACTGCAGGCTTTGCTATTTTTGAACTAACCATAGATTAGAAAGATCATATAAAGGGAATGGTTAAATGAAGCTGAAGCAATAAAAGACATTGTGGCATGTGAACAACAATGCTAAAACAATAACTTATATAATATTGGCATTAATTTAAATGATCATGATATTTGATGACAATTATTAGCCCGAAGCTAGTGTCAGCTCGTGTCAGCTCTGATTATGCTGCAGTTTACTGCAACGATAATTCTGTACGGCTCCTTGGACTGCTCCCTTGGAGCAAGAAAGACAAACTCTCTACTTGCACTCTGTACTGTTCAGTATTAGAGTTACATGATAGCAGTCACAGGCCCTCATCATAGGAGAGATATTTTCAGGGTGTATTTGTTCAGAAACTTGTGTGATCAATACAGTCAAACAATGTCATAAATACACATAAACGCACGCATACTCATACACCAACCCCATACTCCCCATACCCTAGTACACACCTGGCCTGAGCACCACCTGCTCTTTCGTTATTCGAGGTTGAATGTTGACACTGTCCTAAAAGCACAGGACCATGTGGTGACAGCTGCTTAACACCCCTTACCCCAAAATTGCTGGACCCTCTCAACACAAGAACTGCCCACAGACCTAGAGCCTGACTCAGGATTAAACAAACTCACTTGCAGCAGCCCAATTTATAAATACACTTCAGATACCTCACCACTGGGTGGTCTGAGCACATGCACACATACACACTGATTAGCATAACATCCATCCATGCAAGCATCAATGTGAGAAGCACATGACTGAGCTAAAAATGGGCTCATATTTAGCAATGCAAATATGGGGGGGGGTGCTGCTATCTCACCATGATGCAGCAACTTACATTTATATTAATGTTCATATTGATATTTATACTGACATTAATATTGTCATTCATACTTCATTCAAACACATATATTCATATTCCTATAAAACAGAATCTGAATCAGTCTTAAGCTTTGAAATATAAAGAAATAATGCAGAAATTTCTGATTTCGGTTCTCATGGACAGAGACATGAGAAGTAGGGGTGCTAAAGGGATTGCACCCAGATTTCAGGATTCTGCAATGCTAAAATAATTTCATTTTATTGATTTAAATAATTACTTCACTGCAACTTTAAATAAACTGAGCAAAGACTTATGCATGGCTGTTTTAGGGTGGAGTTTTTCAAAAATCTGCAGTAGGCATGCACTTTTTAGGTTAATGTTCCATTAGCCATCCAAGCTACTTCTTTTGCAAACTGGTGGCTGCTTTGCTGCAGTCTCATGGCTGGTAAGTCTCACAAGTTTTCACACTCTCAAAAAAAATATTTGTTTCACAAAATTGTTGTGTCTTATGCATCCCAGTAATTATTTAGATAACACCGCTTATTATTACTGACACCTCACATTACCAACCAGACTATGATTTCACAAGCTGACATTTAAAAAGCCAACTAAAATGGATGCTAAGCAAAATCAGCCAGCATCTAAACAGTGCACATATGCAATAGAACATTCCACCTCTGCAGGTTTTCCTTCACCCACATCCATATTTCTATTAGTATTAAGTTGACAAGTGTAGTATATTGATGTCTCTTGCCACATTGACATTATGTTCTGTTTGATAAAAATTATCCAAAAAATGTAAAATTGACATGTTTTTCTATAATGTCACAGCATACATCATATATATACTGCATCCCCAACTTAAAACGCCTTCCCTCATCCCTGCTAATGGAAGTCAACAACCATTATTGTAAATGCATAACACCTGAAACATTAACATAAAACATTATTTTACATTTTTTAATCTCATTAATCCTAACTTTTTCTTTTTCTTTAGGGAGGCTGTGATGATCATTCAGTGGAACATTCGATCCTTCAACATTGTGAAAAATTGGCCATGGATGCGACTCTTCTTCAAAATCAAACCTCTATTGAGGAGCGCTGCCACAGAGAAGGAGCTTGCCACCTTGAAGGAGGAGTTCCTGAAGCTGAAGGAAGCTCTGGAGAAATCTGAAGGCAAACGCAAAGAGCTGGAGGAGAAACAGGTCAGCTTAATCCAAGAGAAAAACGACCTGTCCCTGCAGCTTCAGGCTGTAAGTACCAGCAACAACTGTCTAAATTACACACTAGTTAACCGTACTTTCTGCAAAAGACAATTAACAGCCAATTAGAAGAGTCTTTGGATAAAATCCAAAGCATGGTCAAAGATTACATTAGAAAAGAAATTGTTCTTTAGATGTTAAAGGAAGTGTGATGTTTCTTCTACAGGAGCAGGATAACCTGGCTGATGCAGAGGATCGATGTGATCTGCTCATTAAGACTAAAATCCAGCTGGAGGCCAAGGTGAAAGAGATGACAGAGCGTTTGGAGGATGAGGAGGAGATGAATGCTAACATTTTGTCCAAAAAACGCAAGCTGGAGGATGAGTGTGCAGAGCTAAAGAAAGATATAGATGACCTAGAGATAACGTTAGCAAAGGTGGAGAAAGAGAAACATGCCACAGAGAACAAGGTGTGCATTCAGTTTTATCTGTGATTAGTAACATTTTCACCTGTGTTCAGCAACTCAGTAACATTTTATCTTGAGTTTTATCCACAGTTTACTACAGGGCCACAATGCTGCAAGATATAAACTAAAATAAAAAATCTGCATGTAAATGTGTGCTCTAGGTGAAGAACCTGATTGAGGAAATGGCTGCTCTGGATGAAGCGATTCTGAAGCTCACCAAAGAGAAGAAAACACTGCAGGAAAGCCATCAGCAGACACTTGATGACTTGCAGGCAGAAGAGGATAAGGTCAACACGCTGACTAAGGCCAAGGCCAAGCTGGAACAACAAGTGGACGATGTGAGTTTTTTTCATTTTGCCCTGTGTTTTCATAAGAACTGTAAATAAATGTTTCCTGTTGTAAAAAATAACTTTAATCCAAGTAATTTTGATCCATTTCTATTCATAGGGTCAGCTGACATTATCAAATGATGAAACAGAAAAACTGTTCCTTGACAGTAACTATATATCCTGTGCTTGGCTTGCAGTTGGAGGGTTCATTAGAGCAAGAGAAAAAACTGCGCATGGACCTGGAACGGACAAAAAGAAAACTGGAGGGAGATTTGAAGCTTTCTCTAGAGTCAGTGATGGACCTGGAGAATGACAAACAGCAGTTGGAGGAGAAGCTGAAGAAGTGAGCCTCATGCTTCAATGCATCAGAACGCAAAAAAAACAACCCCATAAACAACACACAAATCACCTTCATCTAAATTTAAATAAAGCCTAGATCAGGCATTTGCACAGGAAAGGTGCTTGAGTCCCACCTCTTTTGCCCTCAGAATGTACAAGTGCCCTCATGGTTAGTGTGTATAATAATTGTCTTTTATAAGGCCATTCTTCAAGATCCATTGCAGCGAGTGAATCAGCTCAGGTTTCACAAATGTCATTGTTCTGGCATCCCCTTTGGTGCAGTCTACTGAGATTTTGCCTCAGTTTTGCTTTAGACCTCTCATGAATGCACACATCACAACTATGGAAATCATGCTGTCGCCTCATAGATTATCAGTTCAATAAAGCAGTAAAGCACTTACAATCTAGTGTCACTTTGCATAATGTGGTTATGTAGTACAACCACTAAACAAATGGCAAAAAGGCATGCTAATAACTTGTAATTGTAGTAAAACAGGATTTATGTCAAGCCCTGTGAAGCTCTTAAATACAGTTGCAACTTGAAGTTATGTCGTAATTAGGTACAATAGTTTCTCATGTTTGTTTGGAAGTAAACCTTGTATTTCTGGCAGCTTTGGGAAAGAACTCTTAAAACCACATTCACTTTTCTCTGAAATATAATTATATATATATTCTGTTTTCAACTGCAGGAAAGACTTTGAAATGAACCAAATAAATTCAAAGATTGAAGACGAGCAAGCACTTGTTATTCAGCTTCAAAAAAGGATTAAGGAACTGCAGGTCAGTGACATTAGTGCCTATAACTACCATTCACTGTGATGTTTAAAGGAATAAACTACGTTTACCAACCTAATCTCTAGCTGCTGCAAGTGAAACACATGGTTTGATTACCATGGACAATAATTTCAATTTCCCTGTACTTAGAAAGAAAACAGAAAAAAGATTAACTCAGAACGAATAGAATCCAGTGGGCCACTGCATGGACATTATTGCCATGGTAATCAACTGTACACTACAGATGCAACAGAGAAAGATTAGGTTTCAAATCTCTGAAGTATTCCTTTAATATGATTTTCCTGGAACAGGCTCGGATTGAGGAGCTGGAGGAGGAACTGGAAGCAGAGCGTTCAGCACGGGCAAAGGTCGAGAAGCAACGTGGTGATGCTGCACGAGAACTAGAGGAGCTAAGTGAACGTTTGGAAGAGGCAGGGGGCGCAACCTCCGCTCAAATTGAAATGAATAAGAAGAGAGAGGCAGATTTTTTAAAGCTGCGGCATGACTTAGAGGAGGCAATGCTTCACCATGAGGCAACAGCTGCTGTGCTGCGTAAAAAACATGCAGACAGTGTTGCTGAGCTCAGCGAGCAGATAGACAGCTTGCAGCGCATCAAACAGAAACTGGAGAAGGAGCGGAGTGAAGCCAAGATGGAAGCCGATGACTTGGCCTCCAACGTGGAGCAGCTTGCTAAGAGCAAGGTCAGAGCAGCAGAGTCTGAAAACAAATTAAACACACACACCATCCATCCTGCAATCACCATATGACTAGCCTCAGCACCATATTCTAGCTTACTGGCTGACCACTATGCTGGTTGAGCTTCTCCTAGTGGTCAGTAGAAATGGTTAGTAATTCTCTCCTTCTCATTGCTTCCCTCATTCCTCATCCGCTCATCTGTACATCACCTGACATCTGCTTTTGCCTCGTTAAGCTCAGACTTCAGACTCAGTGAGGGTCTCTAAATCTCATTCTGCTTCCAGGCTAACACTGAGAAAATGTGCAGGCTATATGAAGACCAGCTGAACGAGTCGAAGGCCAAAGCGGAGGAGCTCCAAAGGCAGCTCAACGACTCAAATACACAGCGTGCCCGCGCGCAGGCTGAGAGTGGTACACATCAAATAAAAAACACATTAACTTTGACCCACATATTACCATAATAGCACAACAATGTAGCAGTAAACATCACATATTTACAGGTTCCCTTCTTTCCCTTACTGCTATTCAGCTGAGTTGGGCAGAAAGCTGGAAGAGCGAGATTCTTTAATGAGCCAGTTGCAACGCATGAAAAACACCTGCACCCAGAACCTGGAAGAACTGAAGAAACAGCTGGAAGAAGAGAATAAAGTAAGATAGGTCACATTATAGCAAAAAGTATGTGAAGGAGTGGCAAAATATGTTTCTTGAGGGCTGGTGTCCAGCGCATTTTGATAATTTTCCTGCTCTTAACACACCAACTAAACCTGGCAACTAACATAAATAAGGTGTGCTTGAATAGAAAAATCATCAAACTACCAGTGCTGGTCTCCCAACCTTCAAGACCACCCCTGTTCTAAGAACTGATCAATATATCGGTTGGATAAGTATATCACATACATGTAAAATGCATCCAGACTAGGGTACATGGTCAACCTTTATATCATTCTTAAATCACTTTTTCAGATATTCATTATACAGCAAAAGAGAGAAGGACAGGGTGCAAATATATAACTCCGTTTCCAAAAAAAGTTGTGACGCTGTGCAAAAAAAAACAAAAAATGTTTGTAAATAAAAACAGAATTCAATGATTTGCAAATCTAAACCTGAACCCTATATTTAATAAAAAAAAATACAAAGCACCTCACAAATAATTAGGTTATCTGGCAACAGGTCAGAAACATGACTGAGCATAAAAAGAGTATTCCAGAGTCTTTCAGAAGTAAAGATGGATAGGGGTTCACCACTGTGTGAAAGACTGCGTGGCCAAATAGTGCAACAATTTAAGAATAATATTTCTTAACATAAAATAGCAAAGAACTTGGGGGGTTCATCATCTATGGTATATAATATCATTAAAAGATTCAGAGAATCTGGAGAAATCTCTGTGCATCTCTTGAGCATGTTGCCAAGGATGCGTTGTTAAGTATGTGTTTAGGAAGGCAGAGAAAGCGTGGCTGTATTTACTCTAGGTGCCTTCAGCTAGAACCAAAAACACACACACACACACACATTTTTTAAACCACATATCTTTCTGGGTCCCAGGGAGAACCAAAAACAACAAAAAGATATTTCACTGTTACCTCGACAGACATGTTAGCATGTCATCCTCTGAAGAGAATAACTTACTGTATGTATACTTCTGTGAGCTGCATTTTTAGTGCTACTGAATTGTTTAGCCTGCTAGCACCAGTTTAACATATTTGTGTATTGCATTAATTTAAGTGTAAAACCTATTTTTTTCCTTCCCTGTGGTTAACTGGACATCCTTTCATTACATCTTATGGATACTTGCATATCAAAATTGGTCTCTATCAAAGTAAGTCTTTCGGATATTCTAACCTGAGTATTCCCATGCTGTGAACTAAACATATTTCCTGTGAATGCTCAGGCGAAGAATGCTTTAGCCCATGCTTTGCAGTCGTCCCGACACGACTGTGACTTGCTGAGGGAGCAATATGAAGAGGAGCAGGAAAATAAATCTGAACTGCAGAGGGCACTGTCCAAGGCCAATGCTGAAGTGGCCCAGTGGAGGACCAAATATGAAACGGATGCCATCCACAAGACAGAGGAACTGGAGGAAGCTAAGTAAGTGCCTGTGGTTCAGGTGGAATTCAAAGAAATGTTTAAGCTCCAGGTAATCCAACTCTAAATGGTTTCATGTTGATCTTGTTGGCACACAGTATGTGCAAGGTAGGCCAAGTGAATAACTTCCTAGTGTTTATATTAACTTCTCTTTGTAAATTTTAGCTTGAACTTCACCCTCACTGCTGTTGCTTGCTTCTCCATCTAACACGCAACTTTTTTCAAAACTATTTATCAATTTGTTCCTGCTTAAGTGGTCTCACTGTCTGTGGGTCTGAGCAACCTAGCATAGTGTAGCCTACTGTGATATTCTGTCACTGCCTGTGAACATGACTTATCTGGAACCTTCGATTTTCAAAATCAGCATTGGTATGTTCATACATACTTAGCTGAACAATCCTCAAACGAATCCTCAAAAACAATGCTCTATGTGCCTTTGTGCATATTCTGCATGCACTGTTTTTTTCAGTCAAACTCTGATGGATATTTTATGTGACCCTGTGTTCTCAGGAATGTTAACAAAACCGAGTGTCTCCGTTCATAACTTTATAACATCAAATAAATGAATGAATTCCCTCAAAAACAGGAAGAAGCTGGCAATCCGTCTGCAGGAAGCCGAGGAGCAAGTGGAAGTGTCAAATGCTAAGTGTTCTTCTCTGGAGAAGACGAAGCACCGTCTCCAGACAGAGATTGAGGACCTGTTGGTGGGTCTGGAACGTTCTAACGCTGCAGCCGCTGCACTCGATAGAAAACAGCGTAACTTTGACAAAGTGCTTGCGGAATGGAAGCAGAAGTATGAAGAGTGCCAGTCTGAGCTGGAGTCTTCACAAAAAGAATCTCGCAACCTGAGCACGGAGCTTTTCAAATTGAAGAACTCCTATGAAGAAGCCCTGGACCACCTGGAGTCCATCAAACGCGAAAACAAAAACCTGCATGGTAAAAACTGAGGACAAGGTTTTCTGCTGGATTTACACCAGCTTTATTTGAATCTTAATGAAAACAGTATAATTTCTCCGCAAGTCTCTGATTTGCATTTTTTCATTTATTGTTTGCCAGAGGAAATTTCTGAACTGAATGACCAGATCAGCCAGGGAGGGAAGACCATCCATGAACTGGAGAAAATCAAAAAGGGTTTAGATGTGGAGAAGAGTGAGATTCAGGCAGCGCTGGAGGAAGCTGAGGTAGGTTTTCTTGGTAACACTTTATAATAAGGGTACATGAACTGGCAGTAATTAAGGCATTTACTAACTAATCAGAAAGTAATGAGTCATTAATCGGGAACAAATGAAGTCATATATTAACAATCACAAGACTAAATAACTAACACGTACTAATGAATGAAGATGAAGGTAATAAAGGCTTTATTCAGTGCCTGAATTAATTAGGAATTCATGTGTTAATTAAGCATACAAAAAGAATGTTACACATTACAGTACACAATGGCAAACTGCTAGAAGCTGTTTCATTCTATTCATGCAATTTTATTTGTCATACTGTTACAACAGAAACATGAACTGTTGTATGTTTAATAAACTGTAAACTAGTTTATTTACTGAAAATAGGCATTTGATTTAATTAAAAATTAAAATGTGAATTATCTTAATATATGCCACAGTTATTCTGAGAAATACCACCTTCAGAAAATGAAAATGTTTCCCATTATACATCTATTATTCTTTTTAAATATTTGCTATATCTGAATGTTTTATTAATGGAAACACAGCATTTTGCAATGTAACACTTCAACTATTTCCGCAGCTGGAAATTGCTGCTATTTTTCTTCGCCAGTAAATGGCAGTAATTGCGTTAAATGCTATATGTCAAGCGGCCATAGAGTCTTGAGTGAATATCTCTAGTACAACGTTTAAGAGAAGTGAATGAAAATAATTAAAATAATAAAAAAATTCAATACTTCTCTTTCCACCTTTTTGCAATATTTTATTATATACGTAATTTACATCGCAGATATAATATTTACACGTGGTATTGTTGTCTGAGTGTTGTGAGTGCTAGTATGTATTTTGTTCCTCACCTCTTTTTAGACTAAGGTGTAAAACATGCAGCTGTTAACTGTGGCGAAACAGAACGGATTTGCAGGAGCTATTATTTCTAAATTCGTTATAAAGTAGCTTAAATATTTGGTTTGGTGCTTAGTTATTTGCAATAAACCTTTTTGGTTTTAATAGTAAGGTGCTTGTGTTTCTCATGAGCATCGTGTGATTGTAGTAGTAATATGTAGCGTCAGGCACGTCTATTCTGTCTGGTTAAAATCACGTTCATTTTATGCTGCTTGGTTCATTTGTTATTCCTCCTTTGACAGGGACTCTTATTGTGAAGGGCTGTGTGTGCGGTGGCAGTGCTTCACAGGGCCTAGTAGTAAACAGACTGAGTCGGGACAGCGAAAGGGCGTGCTAACTGTGCTTAGCCGAGCGCTAACCTAGCGCCATATTTTCCCCTTTCTTTTGTACTCCGTTCTGAGTTTTTCAGTAAAGCTGAGTCACAGACTCGATCTTCAACTTGTGTGAGTTATTTGGAAACACTGCTGCAGTATGAATATCTTTGTGACTTTAATTAGCTAGCAGTTCTGTCCGTTTTACAGATGTTTGTGGAACTACAGAACCAGTATATATTGGTTTCTCTTCGTTTTCCGTGTTACAGTGACATATTCACGTGCTCTAGTTCTGTGTATTGTGTAGAAGTCATAAGATGATAATAAAATGTGCTTTTTTATTCCTGTGAATTTCGTCAATGTCATGTTTTCATATGAGCCATATTGTAGCTACTTATACTTCATCACTGTTCTTGAGAGGGCAAAAGAATGACTGTCATTTTGGTAAGTAAAATGATTAACCCCTGCTATTTTATTAGCTCATGAACTCATCATGAAGAATTAGTATATAATCAGTAATAAATTGTGATTTGCTCATCACTTTCAGGGGCACAAACATGAATTCATTATGAAGAATCAGTATTTAATGAGTAATAAAATGTGACTGGTTCATCACTTTACTTTAGGGGGCACAAACATTATGAATTCATCATGAGTTATCAGTAATCACTGCTTTCTTTAAAGTGAATTGACAATGGACACTGCACAGTATTGTATTTTTCTCACTCTGACACACTTCAACAAGCACAACAGGAGCTTGTAAATTAGCAGTTGAGTTCAATCAGGTGTACTAGATCTGGGAAAGCACAAAAATGTGCATACAATTAAGGATTCTTATGACCCCAGGAGAAAGACAATCCAATAATTAACTCATTTCTGAGTTCAGTGGTAACTGTAGGCTAAACTATTCCCTCATGAGGCACTCTGTATCAATACAGGAGTTAAAACATGTCATATTATTAACATGAAAGATGAATTAAAACTATGGCAACTCTCAGAAATGAGGACTAGTTGCAAAACAATGTCAGTGTAAGCTTTTAATTTTACTAAACAGTCACTAGGTGGGTAGAAACAGACAAGGTAACATAAATCAAAATCAATAAACTCAAGACCTGACAGATAGAAACAGGCAAATACAAGGGCTGCTTACACAACATGATGAAGAAGAAGGACAAGATGATGAGAGGATGGAGCTATAAAAAAAAACAGTTGACTTTGATAGGCATAATATTCCAGAGCACTGTTTCTCGGGGGATCTTGTGACAACATTAATTAACTGATGAATTCCTAATAAATTCAGGCACTGAATAAAGCCTTTATTACCCTTATCTTCATTCATTAGTACATGCGTTAGTAATTTAGTCTTGTGGTTGTAATATATGACTTATTCATTAGTAAATGCCTTAATTACTTCCAGTTCATGTACCCTTATTATAAAGTGTTACCGTTTCTTGTGAAAACAGGAGGTGACTGAATGGGAGTGACCTAGACCAATAATAATAACAATAATAATAAGTATGCGTCACTATTCTGTATTTGTGTCTGTTTGCTGTGTTAGGGCACTCTGGAGCATGAGGAGAGTAAAACTCTGCGAATCCAGCTGGAGCTTAACCAGGTCAAAGCTGATGTGGACAGGAAGCTGGCAGAGAAAGACGAGGAAATCGATAACCTGCGGTGTGTTTCTTCAGGCAGGACATGGTTATGAATGAAGGTGCTGCTTTTAGCAGAGGTCTGCAGCGTTACTTAGTGGAAATAACACTTTGATTTCTCTAAATTTAGTCGAAATCACCAGCGTGCTCTGGAGTCCATGCAGGCGAGCCTGGATGCGGAGGCAAAGTCTCGCAATGAGGCTCTCCGGCTAAAGAAGAAAATGGAAGGTGATCTGAATGAGATGGAGGTTCAGCTAAACCACACAAACCGCATTGCAGCAGAGGCTCAGAAAATGGCCCGGAATCTGCAGACCCAAATAAAGGTAAAGGAAAATAAAGTGCACACCAATGCTGTAACACCCTGATTAATCTGCTGCAACCATAGCATTTAACTCTCTATATACCAATGAGACATTTAATTAAAATATAATTAAGCATACATAAAACCAAAACTTGTTGCTTTGTATTTTTATGGTCAGAACATGAACCAGAGCAACAGGGCAAAAAAGAATTTGGCCTGCCTCTTTTCAAAGTACTGGGGTGATGCCCCACCACTGATTGATGTTTGATTAAGTTCACTTCATTTGTTTTTACCTCTGACCTATAGACCCAAACAGGCAGAGGTTCAAACTTTGTGGCGTAACTAATTAACATTCCCAAAAAATATAACCTATGCAATTTTGGGTTCAATTATCACACAATTCAATGTTCTTTGAAGAAGTGAACCAGGAAAGTCCGGGGGGGCAGACATTTAATTCGCATAAAAAACAGTGTGAATTTGCACTGCTGTCATTTTGTAATATTATGAGTAAATGACATACCGAGAAAATGGTAATAATTCATACATTTTTAAAACAATACCTCAGCATGGTGGTATGTATTGATGTATTGGAATCAATGTATTTTAAATTGTGTCCCATCACTTTTGGAGGACAGAATGGCATGTTAAACTGTTCATTTGTTCATGTAAGCTAAAATATATGTAAAGTACTATGTGTTAACAACAGGACCTGCAGATTGAGCTGGATGAAACACTCCATACAAATGAGGACCTGAAGGAGCAAGTGGCTGTCACTGATCGCAGGAATGTCCTTCTGGCTGCAGAAGTGGAAGAATTGAGAGGTCAGCTGGAGCAGAATGACCGTGCCCGAAAACTGTCCGAACACGAGCTGCTGGAGGCTATGGAGAGGGTCAACCTGCTACACTCGCAGGTGGACATCATACACATTACATACACACATTACATGGTTGGAAACACCTGTGGATTTTTTCAGATCTGAAGTAAGAGTTAAGCTTGATTTAAAGTACAGTTCATCTGATGGTGATAGTTTTGCTGGTGTACCAGGTGTGCTAGACAGGGCATATCTTTTAATTTACTTTTAAACCCAGACTTTGGAAACACTTTATGAAATCTCCACAGGAATGTCGCCAACAAGTCATGTTCAAATATTTAAGTGTGTGAATGTTAGTGGCTCTTAACAGGGTAACATAATGTCAGTGACACGTTTGGAAACACCTCTTGTTGGGGGCACACAGCAGTAATTTGTTGGTTTTAAAATTGGAAGCATAGAAGAGGTAGAGTGGCAGTAGGGTACACAAAAGTAAAAAGATACGTAGTGTTGCACTCCTTTTGTGTAATTTTCTGTCAAATATTTCCTGCTTTTTTTCTGACACAGAAAAATGAATGACTTGTATGTAATGGCTGTTTAGAAGTGAAATAAACGAAAGGGTCGTCTCTGATTTTTGCACAGTACTTATAGTACTGCATATAGTACATCATTGTGCTTAATGTTAGACTGTGAATTTTAGAATGAGCCTCTGTGTGTGTGTATTTCTGGTCAGAATACAGCACTGATCAACCAGAAGAAGAAGCTGGAGAGTGATTTGTCGGTGCTGTCAGGTGAAGTGGATGAAGCGGTGCATGAGTGTAGAAATGCAGAAGACAAAGCCAAAAAAGCCATCACTGACGTGAGTGATGGCACACTGACTCGGCATACTTATTTTTATTATTTTGGAAAACTATAATATTACCAAAAAATGACCAAAGTATATAATATGGCTGAAATATATCTAAAAGGAGAGAGATTGCACATCTGTCATTAAACAGAAAGACAATATTAAACACACCAGCTATTATTATAGTGGTAGTTCATCTGTCATAATTCTCATGCTATTTATGACTACAGGATCCATATCTAAACCCTTAAACTGTGTGTGTTTAGGCAGCAATGATGGCAGAGGAACTGAAGAAAGAGCAGGACACCAGTGCTCATTTGGAGCGGATGAAGAAGAACATGGAGCAGACAGTGAAAGATCTGCAGATGAGGCTAGATGAGGCTGAGCAAATCGCCCTCAAAGGGGGAAAGAAACAGATACAGAAACTGGAGAGCAAAGTAAGAAACACACACACACTGCATGATGTAACACACATCTTCCTTAACATAACATGTCAGTGGGGATGTGATTTTGTAATGATTTGTTTTTGTTATGTTTTCTGTGCTGTAGGTGAGGGATTTAGAAAGTGAACTTGAGTCTGAGCAGAAGAAGAGTAATGAGTATCAGAAAGGAGTGCGGAAATACGAAAGGAGGATCAAAGAGCTCACCTATCAGGTACAAATACACAACCATTACCACAGATCTTTTCCACCACTAAGAAAGCCTTACATTGCTTTAGACTGGATGCTAAAATTGTAGGAGGTGCCGATCTTTCACTAAACTGCACTACAATAGATTTGTTTGGTTAAAAATGAAAGAATCAACATTATCGATTTAACACAGAAAAATATGCTAAAACATGCAAGAAACGCTAACCTCATGCTGCTAATAGTCAACTTTTCACCCCAGGTGTGTCCAGCTCCAGTCATGGAGGGTTTTAGTCCACCACAAAAGTGGATTTTCCTTCTCAAACACACCTTATTCAACTCAGCAATTCTACAGTTAGTTACTCGGTTTAATAGGTGTATTATAGCAAGAAAATTTCCAAACTTGGAGGGACCTGTTAATTGAAATCCAGGTTGTCAGGGGATTTAGTGAGAGTATTTCAGATTACACATTGAAATCAACATTACACAGTGCAGTTTGAACAGGGAAATTGTCCCAATTTCTGCATAATTCAGTGATTGTGTTTGATGTGAAATAGTGAATTGTAGAGAAACTTTCTGATTCAAATTTCTGTACAGTGGTGGTAACAGGAACCAAGGGGTCACAATGTTTTCCATGCAAATATAGCCATTTTCTTTACTATACAAAATGATCAATTAACTTGCATGTGTCTTCTGAGTGTAAGCCAAAACACTATTTCAAAACAATTATAAAAGAGGCATCTCAGTCAGCAGGCATATATATACATATATACATAATTAAATGGTTAAGATGTAAACAAAGTCATTCGTTTTCATTTCATGTTAGAACCCTTTGCGTGGGAGATTTTAAAGGAATTACACTCTTCGGACTCTTTGTTCCTCTTACAACCACTATGAACTATTTTCTATTTTCTCTAGAACAGTGCATTTCACATCAAACCATTCTTAATGACTTTGTTTACATCTTAACCATTTAATTATGTATATATTTAGAAAATAGAATCAATGTAATTATCTGTGTGTTAGCCAATACCACTCTCTGTTTTTATAGACAGAGGAGGACAGGAAGAATCTGGCACGTTTGCAGGAGCTCATCGACAAACTGCAGGCAAAAGTGAAGAGCTATAAGAAACAAGCAGAGGAGGCGGTATGTTCACGCTGTGCTATAACTGCCAAGATTTATCCTGTTAGTCAAAAAACTTAATTCAACTATTCAGTCATACTGGTTAACTTCCAGGAAGAGCAAGCCAATTCAAATCTGACCAAGTACAGGAAGATCCAGCATGAACTGGATGATGCAGAGGAACGAGCTGAAATAGCTGAGTCTCAGGTCAACAAACTGCGGAGCCGCATCAGAGACCAAGGCAGCAAGGCAAGCACACGCAGATGACTCTAAAATAAATAAATGTAAAATTAACAGCAAACGACTGTACACATGATATACTCATGTTTCTTCCTCTTTTTCAGCTAGTGGAGTGAGAATGGTGTTTTTTCTTCAAGAACACAGTCCTCAGCTGCAACAGTTTTTGTGACTGTGAAAATAAACTTTTTGGAAAAACTCTGAAAACTCTAATGTATCCTGTTATCACCACATATGGCAAATCATGACTGTACATCAAGACATAAAGAAATGTTCTTCTCAGTATTAAAAGGCAGTTTAAAGTAAACAGTGGGCCGTCACTGTAGAATTCATTTCAAGTCAAGGGCAAGTACTCATACATCCTGAATGTAACTTTAAATATAAGAATTTAAATTCTATTGTTTTCCTGTAAATCTTCAGAGGTTTTTTTCTGACACAAGGGGCCATAAACCTGTCAGTGATACTCTGATTGTGACCACATTTGATACGTACAAAACAATTTGCAGCTGAGGCTGAGACATTTAACTTAAGTTGGCTTAATTGAATCAGCTCTTGCAATGCTCACAGCGCTGCCAACAATTTAAAATATGATTATTTCTATCTAAGACTATAATGAAGACACAAAAGTGGTTTCAAATTACACATCTTAATGAGCCTTAACACTTTGCAAATATATGTATGTTGCCTAATTTCACAGGAATTCAACAAATCTTGATCACAGAATCAAGTGTTGTATTTCTTCCAGCCACGAAAGGGAGCATAAGCAGAAACTGCACATGAGTATCTTGAAATATACCATGAGTCAAAAGCTTTACTGTATTTATCCTTTACATTCCACCAAGTCTGTCAACTGTGCAAATACAAGTCTGTAAAAAACACAGTATTTGCTCAGTTGAAAAAGGAAAATGGATGAAAAAAAGAAAATGGAAAACAATCTGTGGAGAAATAATTATTAAAAACTTCATGACTTTTAAGCACAGTGTGGCTGCAAGATTTAAATAAAGTGGTGTCTCCTGGCTTATTCTGCCTTAAAAGGATAAAAATACATCTATAATTGGTATAACCAAATTTAAAACAAATCTTCAAAATGACAAACTGAGGGCATATTATGATTTAATTTTACAATTACAATAAATGCAAATTGGGAACAAGTTTCTAAAATAGTGCTTGGTTTCTTTAGTGCCAGTTGGTGCCTCTTGTAGCTCACCATGAGAACATCCACCTTTGAAGACTGAGGTTATGGGTTCAAATCCTAGTCATGGACGTTGGACAGAGCTGTAGAAACTATAGTATACATATTACCAATCGATCTTAGTCATAAGAAAAAGTAAGTCTTTCTTAAAAATCCGACCATCTGCTGCCTTCTATGACCAGAGGTCAACACATAAGTCCTTATGATGCTTAGACCCTGATGATTGCTGCTTGTGGCTACGTTTAGGGGTCCAAGCACCTTTAGGTGCATGGAACCCTATTGTGTTTGCTAGGATTTTTAGGGGTCCAAGCACCATAGGTGTAGAGCGGGCTGGAAATCGGATCACATCAACACAGCCTTACAGGTATGAATCTGAAGAGGGAGACTGTGAACAGAAGCCTGACCCTGAACCTGAAAATCATAGCCTTGTAGCAGCTTCTCAGCGGTACGGTTTAGGGCCATATTTCTGTTTGTTAGCCAGATGACTGAATGTTTTGCATTTTAACTGTAATATTAACGCAAACCTGAAGTCGGCTTCTAATTCGTCAGCTTCTTGTTTGATTTTTTTCTGTTTTACCATAAATGGTGCAATAGTTGCAGTCTGCTTGTGCCTGCCGATCCAAGCTGTCAATCACTCCACTGGGGTCCAGGACCACACAGCAGAATAGTAAAAGGCAACATAGAAAGAAAATATAATGACAATGATATTTTGTAAAACCATTTGCCATTTTTCAAATTCCTACCAGTGCCTCCTGCTCATGCAGAGCAACAGGTAACTCCACAAATACACTGTTTATGAGCTATTTCCATACTGAAATGTATTAGGATAAAACAAATGAGTACAAAATTTTACTAAAATCATTTTATCAACTGACAGATAGTGTGGATAGATAATGTTGAGTCTCTCATACAGGCTAGTCAGTTATCTTACCGTGTAGCATTGCTAACTGCCTATCTGGCTAGTTAGGTTATGTTTAGCAAAAAGCAAAATTAAGAAAAGTGTGATTTTTTTTAAGGATATGTTTGACAACAAATACCTAACAGATCGACTTATGGGCTAACTAAAGCTTATTAGTTAGCATGCTAGCAAACTTAGTAGTACTTTGCACAGCATGATGAACTGCTTGTCCTGGGTAGCCAATAGCTGCTCATCCTGGATAGTCAATTAATGACTGTGTTAATCTGTGATAGAAAATTGATCCTGGAAAGTCATTAATCCTATTACTGGTGGTATTAAACCTGGATTGTCAATTAATCTAGTTGATGACTAGACTAATTGGAGGGTCAATACAGTCATAAACTGTCATGATCTAGTTAATGACTGCCTTTATTCTGGATAGCCAGTTGATCTAGTTCATAACTGTACTGATCCTGGATAGCAATTTAATCCTGTTACTGATGGTTTCGATCTTGGATAGCCAGTTACTTGCTGTATTGACTGTTGATCCTAGATAGCTATTTAATCTAGTTCATGACTGTATTTATCCTGGATAAGCAGTTAATCCAGCTCATGATTGTATTGATCCTGGATAGGTAGGTAATCCAGTTGATGACTGTATTGATCCTGGATAGGTAGGTAATCCAGTTGATGACTGTATTGATCCTGGATAACCAGTTGTAGCTGTTTTGATCTAGGGTAGCCAGTTAGTTGTATTATTGACTGTACTGATCATGGATAGCCAGTGAATCTAGTTCATTTGACTGTGCTGATCCTGGATAGGAAATGTATCAAGTTCCTGACTGTATTGATCCAGTTAGACCTATTATTAACTACTTTGATGCTGGATTTTAAATTCATCTCTTCTTAAAATCTGCTTCCTGACTATATTGATACTTCATAGCCTGTTAGTCCTATTACTGACTGCATTGATCCTGGATAGTCAGTTAATACAGTTTGTGACTGTATTGATCCTGGATAGTCAGTTAATACAGCTTTTGACTGTATTGATCCCGGACAGGCAGTTTACAGGCAGACATATTATTGTCTGTACTGATGCTGGATAGTTGGTTAATCCAGTTTCTGACTGTATTGATGCTGGATACCCTGTCAATCCAGTTCATGACTGTATTGATTTTGGGTAGCCTGTTGATTTTATTCCTGAATGTGCTGATTCTGGATTGTCAGTTAATCCAGTTGATGAATGCGTCGGTCATGGATAGCCAGGTAATCCAGTTTCTGGCTGTACTGATCCTGGAAAGTCAATTAATGCAGTTCATGATTGTATTGATCCTCTTGAACAATCTGACAGTATCAATCTTGAAATGACAGTTTGTCCTAACTATGACTTCTACTGATCCTGGATAGTCCATCCTGCTCATGACTTCTGACCCTAGATAGTTTTACATGTTCATGTATTGATCTTGCATTGGCCGTTGATCTCCTAGTTAATACAATTCACCATACAGTTGATCCTGGATACCCATTTACTCCTATGGGTCTGATCCACAGGGGAGCGCAGGCGCCTTCCAGGGCTTCCCTTATACTGGCCGGTAAAGCCCACGGCTGTGTGTAGAAGGGGGGAGACGGGATCCGGGAACCTGTAAGGAAAGACAGAAAAGAGTTAAGAGTAAATCAATATAAATGGATATACTTACCGATAAAAGGAAGCTTCTCGTTATGTGTTTTATGTGTATTGTGTTTATTGTGCTGAAGTTATTTTGTTATTGTTTGTTTCATGTAACCCCTCACTAGCCCTGGGGAATGGTTTAGTTGAACCAGATGGGGCAGGGCTATGATGTTAAAAGGAGGTGGGGGTTCATTCAAAGGAAAAAGGAGGAATGTAGGATGTGTCTGTGTGGCCTTGCGGCCTCCGGCACAAACTAGCTTATGTTTTGCCAGAAATATCTGCATACGACTGCGTAAGGGACTAGAAGTAGTCTGCTTTGTCCTAGCCATATTAGTTGCATTGCAACCCATTTATTTTCTGTTTTTATTCAGTATTTTCTTTCACTTTTTGTGTGTTTGTGGGCAAAATAAAATATCACGTGTGCAAGTCAAATTTTGGAGTTCAGTCTGATCTTTTCAAGGGGAACCCTGTCTCTACACCGTCACACTACATGTAAAATAGTGTAGTCTTGCAATCTCTACACCCCAACATTCCCACATTGGGGAATTCATCATCTACAGAACATATCGTTAAAAATTCAGAGAATCCAGAGAAGTCTCTGTACGCAAGAGACAAGGCTGAAAACCAGCATTGGCTAGCAAAGATCTTTGGGCCCTCCGGTGGCACTGCATTTAAAACAGACATGATTCTGCAGTGGAAATCATTTCAAAACTACAGCAATTGGTCCTCCTCAGTTCCCAAACGTTTACAGAGTGTTGTTAAAAGAAGAGGTGATGCAGTACAGTGGTAACATGACCCTGTTCCAACTTTTTTGGAACTTGTTGCTGTCATCAAATTCAAAATAGGCATATATTTTTTTGAAAAAAAAATTAAATTTCTTAGTTTTAGCATTTCATGTTGTCTTTGTACTATTTTCAAATAAATATAGGGTTTAAATGATTTGCACAACATTGCATTTTGTTTTCATTTACATTTTGCACAGTGTCCCAATGTTTTGGAAATGGGGTTGTATATATAACATAGGCGTTCCCTTGCCCACAAATTTGTTGAGATTTTTTAATATGGCCCTTGTAGTGTTTGAGTTCGACACCCCTGGCATACATCCACTTATATCCATTAAGTTGTCCTGAAATCTGTTGCTGCTCTTGAATAAAAAGCAATACCTTGGATATATTTGTGTAACTCTAAATAAAGAGCTACATAGCGGTCAATTTCCATTAGAATAGTTCCAATCACAGATACAGAACTTCCAGCACCCACCTTGGGGATTTAATAGTGAGTGGAATGCTGCCAAAATGGTGTATTGGTGCCATCTGACTCTGAAATTGACAGAATAAGCTAATTGAAGTTATGTCATTATAATTTTACAAGGGACAACAGTAGCAACTACTGAAACAGAACATTTGCTTACCAATGCCAACTTACATCTAAAAACCCCCGAAGCCTTTATAGCCTTTATTAAATATTTGTAGAATCATGTCTGCGGATTCAACACAAGGACATTTTGGTTGTCCAATAAACAGTGAAACATACGGTTTAAAACATTAAACATTTAATTAAATATTTCAGAACGTAATATCTAATATTATGGCATGAGAGTCTATTGAAGTAAGCTAAGTGTTTCCTATTTACTAAATGATCTAGAGCTGTTTATGGCATAGTTAGGCTAAACTTAAACATTTTCAAATGAATTTGAGGAAAATAAGTTGTTTTGAAGCAGTTATTTTAAATGTGGATTAAAGTAAAATGACAAAAGTGCCTGTCAGAAACACAACTCATAACATATCACAAATACCAAATGAGGCTACCAAATAATTTTCTATGAACTGTAAACACGGCTCTCACTGCTGCTCTAGCAGTGCCTTTAAGTTAGTAATTAACTTAAAGTAGGAGGACATTTGAGGTGGCATTGTATTTCAGGTATCAACGGATTTAGAGAATCATTAGATTTAAGGTGGCAGTGGATTTAAGGAAGCATTAAATTTAAGGGAGCAGTGGATTTAA